TTCACCTAGCATTTCGGTTTTGAGTGAGAACTTGCAAATAGGCATGGTCAATATTTAAATATTGTCTTCAGTATATCCTTGAATATTTTGTTTCATCCACCATGCATTTGAGCACCTCCAACAAGCCTTCTATAGAAGATAAGTTTTGGGAGGCAGTAGTTCATCACTGTTCTATGAAAAAAAAAACCCACTACAAAATGAGACTTGAAAGAGAAACAGCTGAGATAAGCTATATATAGATGCTGGAGACCCACTTAAAAGGACTGAATATCAATAAAAGGTTTTCAAAGCATTACCAAGTGTGAAACACTCCACTGATTCATGTAGTTTGCCACTTGTTTCAACTATGCCATTGTTACCTTGTAAACTGATAACTGACATTATTCATAGCCTATTCCTTTACTAACAAAGCATTGGTACTTTGTCTATTATCTGTATCCTCAACCTGGTCAAAGGGTCATTTATAAATATGAGAGTCCTGTTGTTTCAGTCTTATCTCTGGGGAAGAAAACTTGATCTACAAAAATTCACATCAAATTATAGCAATACCACATTTCTTTCTTTCTCTCTTTGGTCTGACATGCTTGCACAGACTAACACAGCTTCTCCTTCAAAAACATCACTACTTTATGATATGCAGATGACCCCATATTACTGAAAGAAAGCTGCAAAGACTCATGGACAAAACCTTTCAGGGGCTTAGAGAGTTCATGGTAGCATACACGGACAATATTGGGATTTCTAGCCAGACCTGGGAAGAGTACAAAATCCACCTTGAAACAGTACTACAGAGATTACAGAAGGCTGGGTTAACAGTTAAAGCAAGTAAATGCCAACTGGGGAGTTCAGAATTAAAATATTTATGCTGTGTAGTAGGTGGAGACGTAATCAAACCCCTTGAATCCAAAATAGAGGCTATTAACAATTGGCTCAAGCCAACATCAAAGAAAAAAATAAGAGCTTTTCTAGGGTTAGCCGGCTACTATCGTCACTTTGTGCCTAACACTAGCGATTAGCGAGATAGCCACCCCTCTGTCCAATCTAACCCACAAACGACAAGCTGAGAAAATCCACTGGACGGCTGACTGTGAGGAAGCCTTTAACAAATTGAAGACGGCGTTGACTACCGGTCCAGTCCTGAGAGCCCCAGACTTCTAGTATGAGTTTATAGCCTTCACAGATGCATCCAACAACGAGCTGGGAGCTGTGCTGAGCCAAGCTGATGACAACGGAAGCAATCATGCTGTGGCCTACCTCAACAAGAAACTGCAGGCGGGCGAGAGGCATTTATCTATGATTGAGCAGGGGTGCCTAGCCATAGTCTGGGCATTGCAGAAACTGAGACCATATATCTGGGGAAGACATTTTGTACTATGCACTGACCATTCCCCACTTTTGTGGCTAAGGAATATTTGGGCCAATAACAACAAACTGATGAGGTGGATCCTACTCTTGCAGGACTTCGATTTTGACATTCGCAATGTGAAGGGAACCCAGAACATGGTGGCTGACATGTTGTCTCGAAGACCAGAGGACTAATGGATGAATGGAAAAGAAAAAGTGTAATCTTATAATGTTGTAAGAAATGTTCTGTTTGTACACTAGTTTTGAGAAGTAATTAAACTGCAATGTCTTGTTGAAAAAAATGGTAAGTAGTAATGGTATAAATGTAAAAGTACAGTGGTGCCTCGCAAGACGATGTTAATTCGTTCCACGAAAATTGCTGCCTTAAGAAAACATCGTCTTGCGAAACAAAAAAGCCCATTGAAGTGCATTGAAACCGGTTCAATGCGTTCCAATGGGCTGAAAACTCACCGTCCAGCGAAGATCCTCCATAGGGGTGGCCATTTTCGCTGCCTGTAAAGTGGGGAATCCGTCCTGAAAACACAGCAGGGAGCCATTTTGCACAGCGGGCAGCCATTTTAGAACTGCCGATCAGCTGTTTCTAAATCGTTGTTTAGCGAAAAATTGTTAAGCGAATTTTCCCCATAGGCTTGTATCTGTCATTAGATTTATTTCTGAATGTGGTCTTGCATTCTGCAAAATAGTAGAGAGATTTTGATCACCAAACAATGTAAGCTATCTGGGATTGCTTGCATTATGGCAGAATTTGATGCTTTTTTATCTACAAAGATCGATAGGTATGGTAACAAAGATGAGTCATCCTTCTTGCCTGTCATTGCATGTCTGTGAAGAATTTATTAATTTGGTGGGCATGAAAGTTCAAAATGCAGTTGTGAAGGAGGTCAAATTGACCAAGTATTATTTAATATGTGTGGACTCCACTCCTGATGTGCGTCACTTGGACCAGTTAATATTTACATTGCGTTCTGTTCACGGTGAACCATTGGAAAGATTTCTGCAATTTGTCCCCATATTTTCACATACAGGACAGTCATTAGCTGATAAAATTTGTAAGACCCTTTGAGTCCACAATATAGATATTAAAGGCTGTCATGGTCAGGCATATAACAATGTTAGTAATATGTCTGGAAAATATAAAGGAGTGCAGACACACATTCAGAACATCAATCCACTGGCAGAATATATACCATGTACAGCTCATTCTTTGAATCTGGTTAGACAGTTAGCTGTTAGTGTCTGTTCTTGTGCTGCAAAAAAATTATACGGTTCAGACAATAATTTTTTCTTTGACCCATAATTGGTCTTTACTTCTGGAGCATCTAAAACCAAATGATAAAGGATGGGTACAAGGCAGCTAGGAGATAGCCGCTGGTCTAAGCGATGTTGAAGCTTTGCTGCTGAACTACTGCAACATTACTTAATGTCTTCAAAATATGGGTAATGATCCAGATGGAAATTATGACACACAGTGTCAAGTGTTATTGCTTCATCAGGGTCTTTTCCAGGGAGTCTTCTCTTCTCAGGAGATGGCCAAAGTATTGGAGCCTCAGCTTCAGGATCTGTCCTTCCAGTGAGCACTCAGGGTTGATTTCCTTTAGAACGGATAGGTTTGTTCTCCTTGCAGTCCAGAGGATTCTCAAGAGCCTCCTTCAGCACCACAGTTCAAAAGCATCAGTTCTTTAGCAGTCAGCCTTCTTTATGGTCCAGCTCTCACTTCCATACATCGCTACTGGAAAAACCATAGCTTTGACTACGCGGGCCTTTGTCAGCAAGATGATGTCTCTGCTTTTTAAGATGCTGTCTAGGTTTGTCATCGCTTTCCTACCAAGAAGCAGGCATCTTTTAATCATGTGGCTGCTGTCACCATCTGCAGTGATCATGGTGCGCAAGAAAGTAAAATCTGTCACTGTTTCCATATCTTGCCCTTTTATCTGCCAGGAGGTGATGGGACCAGTGGCCATGATCTTAGTTTTTTTTTAATGTTGAGCTTCAGACAATTTTTGGCACTCTCTTCTTTCACTCTCATTAAGAGGTTGTTTAAATCCTCCTCACTTTCTGCCATCAGAGTGGTATCATCTGCATATCTGAGGTTGTTGATATTTCTTCCGGCAATCTTAATTCCGGTTTGGAATTCATCCAGTCCTGCCTTTCGCACGATGTATTCTGCATATAAGTTAAATAAGAAGGGAGACTATATACAGCCTTGTCGTACTCCTTTCCTAATTTTGAACCAATTAGTTGTTCCCGTCCCATATATAGATTTCTCAGGAGGTGAATAATGTGGTCAGGCACTCTCATTTGCCATAGTTCGTTGTGGTCCACACAGTCAAAGGCTTTTGTGTACTCAATGAAGCAGAAGTAGATGTTTTTCTGGAACTCTCTGGCTTTCTCCATAACCAGCGCAGGTTAGCAATAGATGAACTTCTATATCCCAGTGTGAGCTGGGAGAAATCCACTTCATCAGATATATTAGAGAAAAATAAAATAGAAATATATTGATATACAGGGCAGGCACAGATAGGAATAATTGCATTAATGACACAAGTAATTGATTGTAAGAGTGTTGATAGTATACACATCTTGGATTGTTTCAAATTTGCTGTGTGATGGGAAGACAGAGTTGTGGTACTTTCAAAACTGTTAAAGGCATGTGTCTGAGGAAATGAATTTTTCTACAAAAGCTCACATTGAAATATAACAGTTCAATGTTAAATGTTTTTGTATGATTTTTGGTTTGATTTTTTCTAGATACTGTATGCTTGGACAGACTACCATGGCTACTTGTTTGAAAACCTCTTTTGAAACTATCCTGATTTGACTGTCCTGTCCAAGCCTGATTTAAAGAGCCACAAGAATACAAACAGTGATTTTTAAAATATTATCTGTCCAGCTTCCAAGCTGATTAAAAATTGGCAGCTAATTTTAAAAATCTTTTTGCACCGAGTTAATAAAAACACCTGGTTTAATTCAAACGATATACAATGAATAAATTATAATACCACATATACTTCCTTCAGATGTCAAGGTAGCCTGCAAATACAGCAAACGACAAAACTAGGATTAAAAGAAAGCAACTTGAAACAGGACAGGTAAAATTGCAGGTTTAAAAACCATCAGTACTGTAGTTTGGTGCGGGTGGGTATGGAAATACCATTTCCTGGGAATCCTGTGTGCCAAAAAAGAGTGGTAGTGAGACCAGGATTCAAATCCTCACTGAGCTATTAGACTCATTAGGTGCCCTTGGGCCAGCCAGTGGGACCGACCTCACCGGAGTGTTACGAGATAAAAGGAGAACCATGTACGCAGCCTTGAACCTAAGAGGAAAGGCACGACATAGATAAATAAATAATAACCTTTATTTGGTACCAGCGGGGAGAACAGCACTCCATACATGTCCAGATTTGAGTGTTTTTGTTTGTTTGTTTGTGTTTTGGGGTCCACCAATTCTAGAATTTATTTCTGAAGCTTGAAAACACAGCCGGGGAGGCTCGCATCAAACGCCGGGAGAGGATCCGGCTGCCCGGCGAACTCTCCCCCGCCCCGCCCTTTCCACAGCCAGACCAGCCCGGCCCCTCCCCAGGCGCGGTTACCCTGGTGATTGGCGGGAAAAGAGGAGGCGGAGCGTCTGACATTTTCTCCTCACGTGACCTTGCGAGGAGAACTCCGGCTCCTGCCCCATTCTCCTTCGCGAGGGAAACCTTGGCCGGTTGCGGGTTTTTGGCCCTCCGTCCGCCCCGTACCTCGCAACCTGGTGCGGCACCGGCAATTGCCTTTGAGTGCTCGGGGCTTCATGGAGCGGAGTTCGGCTGCGGTCGGTGCCGTGAGGCGCCTTCGGACACAACAACCGCCGCAGCAGCATCAGTCGCAGCAGCTGCAGAAGTCGCGCCGGCGGCGGCCGCCGCCGAAGGAAGAAGAGGGATGGGACTGGAAAAAGGTCGGAGGCGGGAGCAGCGCGAGGCTGCTGCTCCTGCCGGAGTCGCGCGCGGTGCTTGTCCTCCTGCTTTATTTGCTCGGGCTCCGCGGGCTCGTGCACGTCTCCTTCCAGCAGCTGGTGCAGCCGGCGCGCGACCCCAAGGAGTTCAATGCCCCTCGCGCCAGGTAAGGGACGGCTGGCGGAGCCCCCTCCCCCCGCCCGGTGCTCGTAGTTTCCCCTGCCGCTCTGACGGGGGTGTGTGAAACTGGTTTCGCCTTGTCGTTTCTTCTTGACTCTCTCTTCTAGGGGCCCACGTACAGGACAGTGAATTGTACGTTTGCTTCAGAGGTCCAGGAGGACCATATTCCAATGTCTGTACTCTTAGTAAAAGACAAGTGATGTGGACGATGGCGTGAGAAGAACAACCGGGCTCTCCTTCTCTTGTGCACCTCTTTCATGAGTTCCTTTATGCAGCTCTCCTTTTATTGGCTTACCACCGCCTCATATTAACTGTTGAGATGGGAAAAAAAAGAGCTCCCCCCCTTCTGGTACTCTACCTTTATGGGAATTAAGGGTTCTGCTCCTTTGCCTTAGTGACTGTGAGTTTAACACAGGAGAATGGTAGTTATTCCAGATCATAAGAGAGCAAAGGTGTCCTTGGTGTAGATAACAATATCTCCAGATTTTTATTTTCCCTTCAGAGGTTTGGAAAAAGAAGCAAGCCAGGACTAGACTTGCTTGTTTCAAAACAGGGCAAGTTTCAGGCTGCTCTTTCCTCAGTTGATCTGTCTGTCAGATTAAGCTTGGCAGAACCAGTACTTTTCAGACCCTGTAATTAAAAATACTCCTGGCAGTCAATGTCATTCTGCAGTCTCTGCATAGCTTATACAGTACTACCTCATCCTGAACTATGGTGCTTCCTGTCATTTCCAAATCAGCAGTGTTTCATATGCTGTGCTTTTGTTAAGTTCCTTGGAAAAGTTGGATCCTAGTTCATATCAGGCTTATGCACCTACATTTTTTTTCATTTGCAATCCTGTCAGTTCTCCTCAAGAATGCTTCAGCACAAGAGCTGTTACTTTAGCTTGGAGATAAGCATGATTATTTCTGTGTGAACATTGCTTAGTCATGGGAGTGTGTCACTAGGTGTGGATGTACAAAATGACTTGCTTGAAGTCATATATTTACTTGTAGCTGAGCATTGCTGTGGCTCAGTCTGTGCTGGGGCTGAGCCACTGAATCTGTTTCTCGCATGACCTATGAAAGTCCTAGAGAACTGCATGCAGCACTAAGTACTGTAGTTTTACTTACCATGGATCTACACAGGTTGGTTTGGTACATTAGATGGCCATTATTTGACATCTCATTCTCAAGTCTGCTGCATGTGCCTGACAGTTTGCAGAAAAGGGATGTCTGTCTTGTTTAGTATTTTTTGCAGAAGGCATAAACTGCAAGAGTTTTCTTCATGCAAAGGGTCTGAGAACAGGGAAGAAACAGTGCAAGTCCCTGCCATTCTGTCAGTGGAAAGATGGAGCCATCCTTCTCCCAGGGTTTCCATGCCTTCCTAAGGCTTAGAAAAGAACAGGCAAATATGTGTCAGACAAGGTTGGCTTGTGATCATAGTGGTGTGTATCTCATCTTTTCAGCACTCCTCACACACATGGACTGTGAGCCATCTATGATGCCAAGCCATGCAGCACCAATTCCTATGTGTGTTATGTGCCATCAAGTTGCAGCTCACTTATGTTAACCCCACTAGGCTTTCTCAGGTATGTGAGTTTTTAAGAAGTGATTTTGCCACTGCTGCCCTTCAGTCAGTTCACGTGAGTAAGGATTTGAACCCAGGTCTCTCAAGTATTAGTCTTTCTGTCACTACACTGACTCTTACCAGAAAAGTTAAGCCAGAGTGATAAGCATTTTGCTTTTGTCCCACCTAAAGTGGTGGTGGCTCATGCATGAAGGCAAAAGGAGCACAGTTGCCTCTCAGGTGCAGCTAATCCAGTTTAACCTGCCTGATTACCAGAGGGCCTCTGTGTTTATATGTGAATGCTTTTCTTCCTGCCTCTATGTGTCTTCCTGTGTATGAATAACCAACATTTCACCTGGTTCTACCAACCATTGTTTGCTGCACCTACCACCACACCTATTACCCCTGACATAACATTTATTTTTTCACGTATCAATGTGTATGCTGTGCCATTTCATTTTAAACGAAAGTTTAAATGAAATGAAAGCTAAAGTTGTACAGACTTCTCTTTTTCTGGTGATTCATTATTAACAGAGCCAAGTAAATGCCTAGGGAAAACTTTACAATTTGAGCATAGTGATATATTTTATTACATTTTTATGTGGGGCCCATGACAATGGTTTGTAGAGTGGAAAACAAGGGTACATTCCCATTCTTTCTATAAACCTTCTTTGTTTCAGACACTTCCATTCTCCCATTCCAGTTCAGGAGGTCCTTGTACACCACATATAGATGCTGGTATCAGTGTTCTTGCATCCGTACTACACTCAGATATATGAAAAAATATTCCAGAGTATTAGATTTAGGATCATGGTTCTTTAAAAAAATTTGTTGGAGACCTGCCTGTGTTAACTGTCAACATGAGTAAAAGTCAAGCGAAACTAATCAAGTGCTTTTTAAAATAAACTATACAATGAGTGATAGGAGTAACTGTCTTTTCCCTTCAATGTTTAGGTAAAATGGGTATTTTTGGCTCTAGCTGTTATTTTCTTACCTTCCCCTCATTTGAAGTTAGCTCTTTTGGCAACTCCTTCTCTTTTTTCAGTTCTGTACAGTGTGGAGATATTAGTGCCATACATTTAGATAAGTGGTAGATCAGTAGATAAATAATCCAGTGGAGCTGTGTAACAGATCAAACAAGGAAGAGATTTGATATCTACCATGAATTAATGCCCCTGAAGGAGGCCATAAACTGTTTGGGTTGAAACATTGGGCAGTTTTCAAATTGTAATAAAGCTGTGGTGGGTTTTTTTTTGGGGGGGGCATCCTGGGACTTCGATCTCTCATAATTAGATCTATTGGATGTTTTCACTTCGTTTTGTTTTTATCATTCCATGTTAAACAATCCTATCTAGACAGACTCAGATTATTTTGACACTACCATTTGCTTTGTGGATCCCTTTGAGTAAAACACACCTGATCTGTTACTTCCAAGATATACACAATATAAAAGTGATTCTGTAGAAAATTGGGATTAAGTGGATTAAGATCTATATAAACCAGATGTCATTTTGTGTCTGTCATGTCAGGGAATGTTTCCAGAGATCTCATTTGTACCTAAAAGTCTTGTCATTGCATGCTCATTTAGCTGCTGGACTTTTTCAATGGGATTTACATTTTTTAGGATGTGATTCTAATAACACTTAAGAAGATGGCTACTTATAGCATCTCTTTTCTTTTTTAATGGTTTTTATTTTTTTAAACAATGCTATATTGTTGTATGCATTGCCATGTGGGGTCTTTGAGATTTCTACTTTTAACTTGTAAACCATCCAGAATAGTGCATGCACTAGTGGGGCAGTATATACATTCAAATCAATAAAATTAGGCTTGATAGTTGCCTAAAATTTCAGTCTCTGTTGCACCTGAAGGCTGGTGGACATGTACCTGTGAACTAGGAATGAAGTTATATTAATTTCCGTATACGTTATCCTGTGGGCAGATATATAGAATCACAGCTGTTGGCAGCTGTGATTCTCATGCTGCCACAGCGTGACTTATTTTCAGGCAGATGGATAGAAGATTGCAGCTTATTTTACAAAAAAGAAGTAGCAGGTTAAATATTTTGCTACATGTCAGTCTATAAATATTGTTGGCAACAGAACATTATATGCATTTGCAGGCCAACATATATTTGTAGCATTTAACACATAGTGTATAAAGGAGACATCTGTGAAAGTAAAATGTGAATTATTTATTGTACATTCTGTATTTTTCCATACTGAAACTCTAGTGGCATGCATGAGATCCCCAGATGTAGTCCCATCCTGTCATTGAACATAGTGAACCCTGCTTTGCTGCAGCAGAGTTCTGTATCATATGTTTTTGGACCATGTTTTGGATCCTGAATTGGGATGGCACCCTTCAGATATGCTTGGACCACAATTCGTATGAGCCCAAGGTAGCAAAGCGGTAAGGAATAGTGGAATTTGCAGTTGAGTCACATCTGGAGGACTGGATTTTGTTCAACCCTGCTATTACTGAAATATACATTTACCTTCATGTACATTATGTGAAGGAAGATGTGGTGTATGTGTTCAGGAGTGGAGAACCTGTCATCCTTCAGAAATTGCTCTAGTTGCTGTCATACCAAGCTGTCACGGCTGGTCCTCAGGGGATTTGGGAGCTGTTTGGAAGACTACTGGACAGCCTGGCCTATAATAAGGTATTAGACCTTGTTATATGTCCATCTCTTGAGTGGCCTTGGGCAAGTCCAGAGGAGAATTGTTGTGAGAATAAATAGAATAACTTTGAGTGTGCTGTCCTTAACCCAAATGAAGGAAAGGGTAGATTTCTATGATAGTGTTACAGGAAAGGATGCTTGATTTTTTTAAAAAAATTTCTAGACATTTCCGTTGCAAGAACTGTTTGTTTTGCTTTTGTTTGCAGTAACATGCACTCAGCCGTGTGGACAATAGATTGCTCTACAGATGTCTTATTTTGTAATATTTTCTCTTGCTTCTGGTAATCAATGGAATGTTAAGTAGTGGACCTTTGCCTCATGACCTGAATACCAGAAAGAATGTTATTAGAATTTGCACACCAGCAGATTTAATCTTCACCCCTTGGTTGTGAATTTATTTGGAAATGCTGCACATTGTATTAAAATGTGCATATCACGTGGAAAAGCTACACTTCTAATACTAATTATTGTCTTCTACAGAATGTATTTAGAAAATATTACCGCAATTGGTCCGAGAGCTGTTGGAAGTCCAGAAAATGAAATCTTCACAGTAAACTACCTCCTGGAGCAAATTAAAGCTATAGAACTAAAAAGCAGCCATGCCCACAAAATCTCTGTAGATATACAGAGGCCAACGGGCACCTTCAGTATTGACTTTCTTGGAGGGTTCACAAGTTACTATGACAATATTACTAATGTTGTGGTTAAACTGGAACCAAGAAGCGGAGCTGAGCATGCAGTGTTGTCCAACTGCCACTTTGATTCTGTACCAAATACTATAGGTAGGTAAATAAGATATTTATACATAATGGAGGGAGGGAGCAATTGTGAAGTTAAAGGAAATGCATGTTTGCATCAGTTTAGGAGATGAATTTTAACCAAGCCCTAAGAGCCAAAAAACAACCTAAGAGCTAAAAATGGTAATATTTCTCTTTGAGCTCTTGGTGGTCTACGTCTAAGAGTAGTTGTTCATTAGTGCAATTTCCTCTCTCTCTCTCTCTCTCTCTCTCTCTCTCTCCAAAATGGTCACAATTTAAAATATAATATTAAAAATAATTACACTTATTACATATAGGTTTATTCAATAAAAACTGTTTAAAACTATTTAAAAGCACAGTTTAAAAGCTGAAAATATAACACACCACATTTAAAACCCTTTCATTTACACCCAGTGACTTCCTAAAAGCCTGCCTCCATAACCTGGGAACAGCCACTGCAGAGGCTCTTCTTTGTCATGTTCTTACCAGCCACGTGTGTGAGAGTAACAGGACTGAAAGAAAGGCTTTCCTCAAAGATCTTAAAACCTGGGGAAGCTCACACAGGGAGAAGTGTAAAATGATTGTAACTGTTGCAAGTTGGACCACAAAACAATAAAATTCCATCTACTCAACATTACAGAGCACAAACATATTATTTAAATCAGGAGTAGGCAACTGTTCATGATGGGAGATACAGTCTAACAACATTTGGAGATTCACAGTTGTCCACTTTTGGTTTAAACATAACTTACAACCTTGGCGATGATATCAGTCTTTGTCATTCAGGAAGAACAGCAAAAAGACCAAAAATAATCTGTAAGCTAGATGTAAAGGAATATTTTTTTTTTACATCTGGGTTTTAAAACTTTACCATGTATTGTGATGTTTTAAAAATGATTTTAATTGTTTTATGATTGTTGTGCTTGTTTATTATTATTCTGTTTTATGGTGCTTGTAAGCCAACCTAAGCATTATTTCACAGTCAAAAGACGGTATAGAAATGTAATACATTTTGTTTTCATTCGCGTTGTGTGCCATCAAGTCAGAATCAACTTATAATGACTGTAATCGTGGCTTCAAGACAAGTGAAATATTGAAGGAGTGTTTTGATCATGGCCGCCACCTCTGCCTCGTGAGTTACCATGACCAAATAGGGATTCAGATCCAGATCTCCTGAGTCCTAGAAAATCAAACAGCCCTCTATATCTCACTGGGTACCACTATTTCAGCTTATGTTAAATGGCTTGCTCTGTTCTTTGTGGATTACATAAATAAATATTACAGAATGCACACTTATTTACACCTAATCAGCCTAATCTGGCATTTTTAGTCTATCTGGCATTCATCCAAAATCCCCAAAGAACCCTTAAAATTACTCCAGAGAAGCAGGGGCGAGGCAGGCAACAGAAAATCCATTAAAAGCCTTAAAGAACTATTAAAAACTACTGCAAAAAAACAGAAAGGCAAGGCAACAGAGAAGAATCATTCTACTCCTAGGCAATTTTCATGGTAATTTGACAGACATAGGGCGAAAGAAACGGTAAGCAAAAGCAGAAAACATGAAACTTTCATATACTCTTTTGTTGAAATGAATAATTTGTGTTTAAGAGGCTCTTTTTCAGAAATCAATGAAAGAACACGAAAACAAAAAAGGCCTCTTTCATGTTTTTTTAATTTCATGGTTGCACAGAAGTCTCATCCCTATTTGTTAACTAGTGATAATACAAATAGGGATGAATTCATTGCCTGGCGTGTGTACCCTATGAGATTTTTTACTTTAACAGTAGACCATACCTTCTGTCAAATCATAGACTGGAAACAACACAGTCCTTCAAAAATAGCTTCCTGTCTGTTGGAGGATAAATCTTGCTTGAGAAATACAAATCTGATTTAAACATGAACACGTAGGACTCTTGGTTTTGAACATCCTTAGTCTAGAATATCTGGAAGCAAAAGCCAGGCATTTTAAACAAACACGCTTTTGGACAACAGTAGTTAGGAATGGGGTGTCAGACAAAAATCCCAACAGCCCTACGTAAGGAAATGTTACATTATTATCTATCAAATGGCTCTGTTTCTAGATAAAATATCTCTCCAGTTTCCTTGTTGGCTAGTGATATTCATTTATGTCACTTGTTAACAGTGACACATAAAACATTTTTTCACTTACTGCCATAACCGAAAGTGGGTGAAAACATTGATTCCTCAGTAATATAATTCGTTTCTTGTCTTGCTTACAATATCTGTACAGTGTACTTTAAAGTCCAGCCCAATTTACTGGTTGATCAAAAACATTTTAACACACTCCATGCAACCTAAATGCTATGGCAATCATTGTTGACCAACAAGCCTCATCTATCTATAAAGGCTCATTCAAAAAATAAATTTGAACTATTATTGTGCCTGACGGATGTTGCCATGGTAATGTAACCAAAATTCAGTGTTTATCCTACCTGGAGTAGACCCATTAAAATAAACTGAATTTAGGTTATTAGTGATTATTAAATCCTATGCACTTCTGTGGGTCTGTTCTAAGTATTACCTGAGTTGTATCTTTATTTTCCAATTGCTTCTTGAAATATTAGGTGAGAGTAGTGGAACAGGGTTTTTTCCAAATGCTTTTAAATATTTAATCTCGACTAGGAAAATTCTTCTTTCTGTAATAAATATTTCTATAACACTATTTGATATTTAATGTAACAATACAGGTTTGAAAGAAAATCCTTTTCTTGATATATGTGCTTTACTAAATGGATAATTGACTTAAAATTATTATAAAAGAGCAATTGTGTTTTAAGACACAGGGTTCATTGTGCTAAGTATTTTGTAATTTTAAGGTGCCAGTGATGATGCTGTCAGCTGTTCTGTGATGCTTGAGATACTGCATACGCTTTCGAAGTCATCTGAACCCTTGCAGCATGCAGTTATATTTCTGTTCAATGGTGCTGAAGAAAATCTTTTGCAGGTAAGAATATAGTTGATAGATTTATAAAACTCTTTGCATGATCTAAATTTCAGATCAGAAACCAAAGAAGTATTTTATTTTGTTCATTTGTAAGTTAGTTTCTATGCTGCATCTTCGTCTCTAAAATGGTTAAGGTATATAAAAACAATTAGATTTGTCCTGCAATGCTGTGTTAGGGGTACTAGTCAGTGTACCACTGAGATTTGGATCTCCCTAATGATTGCATTCTGTAAGAATGATTTATGAAGGTGGAAATGGTTTTTCAGATAGCATGCCTCCAATGTTCCCTCTAAGCTGTGCGGCTTCGCAGGTGCACAGCGCTATGCCCCCTCCATGTGGTGATCCTCCTCGGCACACCCACAGCAAGTGTTTCCAGCCCCTTTGGTTTCAGTTCACAGCTGAGGCACCAGACTAAGACACATCCAACCTTTTCAGGAGTAATAACCATATCAGCAGAAGAAAATGGATAGTTCTAATAGTGATATGGGGGGAGCAGAGAAACTCCTGGGGGACAGCTGCAGGGTAGCTGCAAAAGCTGAAGGTGATGCTGGTGGAGGAACTTTCACAAACAAGCAGTGACACACAAGCTAACTTTTATTCTGCACAGAAGGAAGCAGTGGTAAACAACTGCTGAACATTTATTACTTTAAAAACCCTATGATGAGACAATCCAAAATAAAACAAGAGATAATGCTGGAAGATGAGAGTCCCAGGCTGGAAAGCACTCAGTCAGCTACTGGAGAAGAGTACAAATAGTGCTGTCACTAATGATGCAGTTAGACTAAAATGGAAAGGATGTATAGTAACTGATGTGCACAGAGCTGAAAGGAAAGTCTGATGTTGTGCAGTATACACAATTAAAACATGGAACATGAGAAGTATGAATCAATGTAAATTGGAAACCATAAAACGAGTAATAGGGAGTTTAAACATTGCATTGCGTGGTATGAGCAAAATCATCATCATCAGACATAGTAGTAATAAAACTAAGAAATGTCTGGACAATTGATATTGCAATTCCAGGAGATGCCAGAGTTGAAGATAAAGAATTGGGAAACAATTAACAAAATACAGAGATCTGGCAATCAAAATGTCTCGCTTGTGGATGAAACACACACTTCAGTGGTCCTCATCATCATTGGGGCTTTGGGAATAATACCACAGATTTTCACACAGCTGCAGATTTCAGAAATAATACCATCTGAGTGAAAAAAGATGGTAGTATTAGGAACAGTATACATACTGTGCCAATATTTGACAGATATTTAGGTTTTTGGTTAAAATTTATATCATATAATATCAATCAATGTTTTTATAATTTTGATTGACTGTGCCTGATATTTTTTTAACAGCAATAACAACAACATGATATCAAGTCAGTTCTGACTTATTGCAACCCCTTCCAGAGTTTTCTCGATAGAGAGTACTCAGAAATGGTTGACCATTCCCTTCTTCTAGGGGTGACCTGGGATTGTGCAGTTTGCCTATGACTACACAGGCTGGCTTTTCTCCCGGGAGACACAGTGAAGAATCAAACTCCCAATCTGTGGCTCTGCATCTAAACCACAGAGCTATCCAGCCAGCTTGAGTGGACTAAAGTGCACTGGAATGAGATGTTTTCAGTTAGACAACTACCAAGTGTTTTATTTGGAAATTAAAAACTCAGAAGAAATGGAGTTGCTCTAGTACTGAGGCAAGATGTAGCATAGGCTGCAACTCAAGATCTTGATTTGACTGTAAATTAGAGGGGAGATGGAAAAATTATATTTGAAACTTAATTTCTGAATAAAAGCATGATGCATTTATTTTATTTGTCTCATCATAGTAATTAGGTCTTTCCAAGGGGCATTGCAGGCTTTATTACACAGCCAGGCCATTGCATTATCTGTTGGGAGTTAATAGTCCAGCTCAGGAACTTGGACTGATAGTGACAGTGACAGAAACATAAAAGGGCAATGAAGATAATAGATGAATATACTTTGGGAAAAGGCTTGGCCTATTTTACTATTGCTTCTCATAAACTAACACTTAGTGAGGGTGCACTGTATCACTTCAGCCTGTAACTGGGACTCATATAGTGGCATATGTCCTCTTCACCCCACTCTGTTATATTTGTACACACAGATGTGCGAAGGAGAAGGCTAGGCTGGAACCCTTTTTCCTGCCATGCTAGTTTCCTGTGAGGGTAAGAGCAACAAACATTTAGTCTGGATAAGGAGTAGAGATGGGCACAATCCACAGTTCAGCTCCATGCGCACATAGATGTTGTGCGGGCATGGCAGACTCCTCTCTCCTGTCTCCTCCGTGCACTTGCCCATTTCCACTCAAAGGCAGCACTGCAGGCTTCCCTGCCCCTTCTCCTTCTCTGAATAGGCAAGTGACGGAGGATGTGGAGGAGGGACGCGAGTGCTACGAACAGTGAGTGGGCAGTTGAGCTGGGGAGGTGAGAAGGCAGGAGAGGGAATGTGCTGCGCCTGTGCAACACCTGTGTGGGCACAGATCTGAACTGATCCGAACCACTGAACTGTGATTCTTGCCCAGCTTTAATAGGGAGTCTAACACATCATAGATGACTGCCCACTGCCAGTCTCCTTATATGAGGGAAACAGAAAGGCTGAAGTGATACAGCGCAGACTCAAGTTTGTTGTTGCTGCATTCTACATTCTGTAATCATTCTGTGATAGACTTACTGAACATAGTCAAAATTATTCTCTTCACCCTCTGCATTATATTATGTAGTCTGTTATCTCAGGTTGTGAGCCCTGTAGTGCTCTATATTATTTAGTCAATCCCAGAATGCTTATTTTGTAATGAGATGCCCATTAAAAGGTGCTGTTGTTTTTTACATCTATTATCTTTGCTTCTCATCAAGGCTAGCCATGGTTTCATTACACAACACCGTTGGGCTAAATCAGTTAGAGCATTTATTAATCTGGAGGCTGCTGGAGTAGGAGGGAAAGAGCTTGTTTTTCAAACAGGTAAGACACTTCACACACCTCACGTATCCCAATTATGGTTTTCTTGGTTAACAAGTGAAATTCCATTTGAGCACTACTTTAGAATGGAATGTTGTAGATAAGGATAGATCTTCTTACTTGATAACAAGATCTCTGTGTATTATTATGTATCTTTAGCACTCTTATAGTACAGATCTCATTATTTGCCAGAGAGAAGCTACTGTGAGTCATAGTTTGCCTGCGGGCTAAAGCGCAGAAGCCTTTGTGTGATGCAGGGTCAGAAGACCAGCAGTCGTAAGATCGAATCCACGCGCCGGAGTGAGCTCCAGTCGCTTTGTCCCAGCTCTTCGCCAACCTAGCAGATCGAAAGCATGTAAATGCGAGGAGATAAATAGGTACCAGCTCAGTGGGACGGTAACGGGGTTCCGTGTATAGCCACGCTGGCCACGTGACAACGGAAACTGTCTTTGGACAGACGCTGGCTCTACGGCTTGGAAACGGGGATGAGCACCACCCCCTAGAGTCAAACACGACTGACTAAAATGTCAAGGGGAACCTTTACCTAGCACAGATCTCATTATTTGCCAGAGAGAAGCTACTGTGAGTCATAGTTTGTCGTTTGCAGACTTAACTACCCAATAGCAGTAGCGCCTGAATAGATCTGCAAAGATTCTCAGTCATCCAGGTGGGGTTATCTAGAAGCTGAGTCATGGCAACTGGACTTCTTTCTTGTTAGGTTGAAATGTTTTGCTACTCATCTTCAGTCTGAGGAGATTTGGTATGAGACCCCTGATATATCCCCCATGAGCCTATTCAGACCATGAAGAAGTGAAACCACTTGGAGGATATATCAGGGATCTCCTACCAACTCTCCTCAGACTGAAGAAGCTACTTGGATGAGTAGCGAAACATTTCAACCTAACAAGAAAGAATTCCATTTACCATGACTCAATTTCCAGACAGTAGGGCCTAAAGTTTAAAGTCATTGAAATCCATTAAATAGCTTATGGCAACAAAATGTATAAAGATTAAAAACTATATTTTAATCCTTAGGCTTTTATCTGATACTTCATTATGGTTGGTTGAGGCCCTGCGTATTAGTGGTTTCACATTATCTGAGACAGTACAAAGTGGGTATCTTAACACTAACTTTATTGAATAACCTCTTGTATAATCTCAGTGTGGCTACAGTAGCTAAAGTTTTCACTCTGGTAATGTTACTGGCTGAATCACTCAGTGTTTTTTTGACGGAACCAAAGGTTGGATGTTTGAGGCACCGTGATTCCCTACGGTGCCTCCTGCGAGAAGAGCCATCCTGGGCAGCCTTGGGCAAGCTCCACAATCCCAGGATGCTCCCAGAAGAAGGGAAGGGTAAATTAGTTCTGAGAACTCTCTGCCTAGAAAACCCTGAAAAGGGTTGCCCTAAGTCAGAAATTACTAGATGACATATGATTAATAATAATTGGATGTAAGACTTAAACATCGAGACACTACAATAAAGGGAAAAAGTATTACTTATTGAACCATGAACCTTTCAAAATCAGCTGTTCTCATTCCTGTTCAAATGGATTCATCTTACTTTTTCCATGTTTTCCATGAAAAACCTAAGTAATTTTGCTTACAGCCACTAAATACTACATATGAATATACCCTCTTGGAGGAAGAAGATGTCTTTGGTTCACAGATCTGCATGGGCAGCATTAAATGTCCTTGTTTGTTTGTAGGCAACATTCCCTCTAAGCTTGCCCAGACCTTCATTGGGGCTGTGCACAGGCAGCCGGCAGCTGGTTTGTTTACTGCCCATTTCAAATGAAGCCCTGCCCACCCCCACGCACACAGTGAGGCTCCCACACAGCAGGACAGAAAATGAGAGGGAACGTTGGTTGTATATATTAGACATGGGGGCTTCGTGCTTTGTACGAAGCATGCAGTGCCACTGCCTAGGTGTTCCTAATTCCTCTTGTCCCACCCCCAGCCACTCAGTCCACAGGCAGCTGGGGTCTTTCTGCATTGGTGGCACACCTATCAGTGCTGGAGCCTGACCGGCCCATCCCCGCCTTCCCAGACTGCTGACCACTCTGGCAGGGAGGCAGGAGGGAGAGTGGAACCTGGTTGAAAGGAATTAGGCAGTGGCGCTTCGTGCTTCATATGAAACACGAAGCCCCCATCTCTAGTAGATATTACTCTGGCCAGCTGTTCAGGGTATTATGAATGGTTCAAGAAGGACTATAACAAAGCAAGAACATTAATGTCATCCAAACAGGATTACAAATTGAGAACAACAATTTACTCCAAAACCCAAGTAATACTTTAAATCTGGCTACAATTGCCTTACCTAGGTCAGAATCCTGTTGGTGCAGCCCCACATGTGTAAGACTAATGACATCGTGAGCTGTAGGACTGGCAGTGGAAATTTGTGGACATTAAAGACTCCCCCCCCCTCCAATTTCATTCCCCTGAAAGGTTTCCCCAGGTCAAAAGAGATGCCTAGACAGCTTTGAACTCTGGGAAGGGGAAGGAAACTTGCAATAAAAGATGAAAGGCTGTGGTTGATTACATCATCAGGCCTGTATGTGTGTGGAGCTGTTTCAACAGGTTTCCTGCCTGTATGTGAACTAATTTTCCCCCCAGATTTTCTGATATGGGAATTGCACATTTCTCTGTGTCGTTGTTCCTAGCCAAGAAGGAACGGTGTTTTTCTATGCTGTGTTAAGGCATTGCATGTAGTGGTGGGAGGGGTCTGAGTGACTGGTAGCTCTTTTTGTCTAATAAGATTGGGAAGGATGTCTCATCTGCATCCTCAAAGGTGAAAACTGAACTTGTCTTGCAACCCCCATTTTGGAACTTACTTTAAACAGAAGGTCTTCACACTTATCTCCAGCCATGATTTTTGAAAAGTTTGTTTCTTCCATATTACCCCCTGCCCAACTCTGTAATGCCCAGCCCAATGAAGACTTCTGCAGTAGTTTCTGTTTGTGATATTTTAGTGGTCTAATAAAGGTAGCATCCACTTTTCATTCATTCCTTTTTGTGTTATTAACAGGGTACCTTACTTATTACCAGAAAAATACAGGGTTCCCTCCACCCTTGCTTCCCTCTATTGTCCAATTCTGATATTATACCTTGGAAATATAAAAAGTTCAAAAATGAAACAAAAATTTCTGGCTCCACAGCAAGATACCTAAACCACTGAGCTATATAGGACCAAAATTATCTAACACATTTGTCCTACCTCTTCATATAAATCAGTAGCAAGGTACGATTATCCAGACTGCACAGCCAGCAGATTTTGTTGTAGGTTATTTTGTAAGAGCTCCATTCTGTTGCCTTCGTTATTCCAGAATATAGTAGGGAACAGTGTAGATGTTGCCAATGCAAAACAGCAACAGCAAAAAATAGAACACCTGTAGAATGGTACAAAACTTCTAAAAAATTTTCAAAATGCCATTTAAAATGCCTTTAAAAAGTAACTTTTAAAGGTAATTGGAAAACATTGCTTATAAAATATAACTTTGTTGTTTCATGCTACATAATATAGCCTGAATTATAGCTTAGTTACACATGTTATACAAGTACCTATTTTTATGTAACCGCATTGAATGGTGACTGCATTGAATTGTGACTGGTTACTTCCAAGCACAGGTTTTGGCATTATTTTTTGCCCCCAGACAGATCTTTGTTGTGCAGGTAGCCTTAATCAAAAATGACAATAGGTTTTGTGGCAGTAATTGTTGTGATGCCACTTAATCAGAGAGTGACAGTCATGGAATGCTCAAATTCTCTTTTCATTGTTGCAGATACTTTGTTTTAGTGCCTGTGTATCAGACTGGGACATATATTGCGCAGTCTCATATGAAAAAATAATAATTATCAAGGAGTGTTGCAAATATACCCATACATCTGAATGATGTGAATTACAAGGCTGGCAGCTTTCCATCAGAGGAGAAGATTGCTTATACAGTAATTAATTAATTGAAGTTTAAGAGATTGTCATGTTCCCGCCTGCCCCTTGGTTGCGTCACCAAACAAAGGCACAAGCCATGTGTTATGTCACTGCCAGCAGTTGATTACATCATCATTGTATATTATTAATGATAGAGGTCCAGGCAATGTGTCATTTAAAAAAGAACCAAATAGAAGTGCAATCAATGTCATTAGCTCTTAACAAAACATCCTCCTTCATCCACCCTGAACCGCCAGTCCTCTCTCTCTTCTCCCCAAACTCCAAATTCACAAATCCTCCTCTTTCTCCCCCTCCTGCAGAGACTCTTATATCTGGTGACTCCGTCTCTCCAGCACTCTCATTGATACATGCAGGTAGCTCATTAATATTCGTGACCTGGGCAGACACCACACAGAGGCCATAGCTGTATCAGCAAGACAGAATGCCTGTGTTAATGAGATCATATTTAAAGAAAGAAGAGAAAGGAACCAATTTCTGCAGAAGTCTTTGTAGGATGGATACTACTTATTGATGTGGTTTGGTTTGAGGTTTTGTCCCATAACATTATTCTGCAGCTGTTGTCTTATAGAGTGTCTGTTTCCACTTCCTCGGACTCTCCCTCTAAGAGAAACTGCCGCCAAAGCCTGAGATGGCTTAGAAGAGAGGGGCAAGGAATGATTTTAGCCTGATGGTGGAGCAGGTGCATTCAGTTCTTCATTGCTTTGCAGAACTACAGTTAGGAGGATTTTAGTGCTTCAAGAATAGCTTGAGAAGCTCAAGATTTAAGAGCAGCCCCATAGTCTTTGTTCATAACTAAGGTCCAAATAAGCCACTTAAGTATATACACAAGAACACTGGCAGAATCACCCTTCCATTCTGTGTTGCTCTGTTATTTTTTAAAAACAGGTTTTATTGCTTTTCTCCCCACAAAAGCTCCAAAAGTGATAAAAATACTTTTAAAAATGCAGACCAAGAGACATTTTAAAAGCCAATATCATTTAAAACCAGTCAAAAAACAACTCTAAATGTCAGCTTTAAAATCTGTTCTGAATAAGAACTGTATACAAACATGTCCACAGTTTGGAAGTAACAAGTCAGGATCAACACAGTTATTTGTAATGAGTTATCCTAAGTGGGTGAAGGGCGGGGTTTGTAATATCATGAATGTTAATGAGCTACCTGCATGTACATACGTCTGATGTAATACTTCTCTAAAATACCTAGAGAACCATGGAAAGGGTCACTTTAAATCAGAACTGACTTGATAGCACATAAATTTTACTATTGATGAAATTATCTTTCAAAAGAAACCAAATGAGGGAACAAAGGCAAATTATTTCAATACTGAACACTGTTTTTCTGGTTACCTTTCAGATTTACTTTTAAAGGGAGCTTTTAGGGGCATTTTGATATAAAACGTCAAGTGTTTTGCCAGTGGCTTAACATTGGGAGGCACTTTTTTTTAAAGTGACAGTCCAAGAAGTGGCAACAAGTAACACAAGTTTCTTTTACAACATTGCAGTGGTTATTTTCTAAACTTCCTGATGGGTAAAAGAGCATTAGAGATCCAGTGTAGTGTAGTGGGTAGAGGCTCAGACTAGGATTCAGGAGACCTGGTTGCAAACTATCCATGGAACTTCCTGGGATAGTACAGGTAGGGTTGAGGATTCTATACAACTTAAAAACCTTGTTAGGGTCTCCATAATTTGGAAGGAGATTGATAGCACATACCCATAATTGTGGGTAACATAATGAATTACTTTTAAAAAGGAACATTTTAAGCCCTGTACTGTGATTTTTTAGGGTCTAGAAAAATGCTAACACTTAAATGAAGAAAACCATTCTAACATTGCTTGTTGTACACATTGCTCTGAAAAATCTCCTTATAATGGTTACAGGTCTAACAGGAATCTAGTCCTATGTAGCTCATAAGCCTGTTTTTCTTGGTTAAGACTTTCTTTAATTATATGCTATTGACTTGGGGCAATTGGAAGAAGATGTACCATTTGAGAAACGAGTTCTACTCCACATTCATTGCTGATAAGTAATCTCTGACTTATCACAGTATGTCTTTTTTGGAAGAACAAGGGGAGGGGCTTTCTTCTGCAGCACCCTAGCTTTCCCCTAGAAAGCTTTCTCAGGGACAACTTTGTTATCATTTAGGTACTAGATTAAAATGTTCTTATTCTTGCAGACATTTGAGTGTATTGAATTATAAAGAACTGAACAAGTGTTCTAAAGCAGACATTCTCAACCTTACTTTGGCTACAGCCCTTTTAGGATCTCTTTTCAGGCTCCAGGACCCCCTGTCAAACAAGAACAGAACATAAACAGATGAATAGAAACTCCCCTTCTCACATTTTTCAGTCTGTTGCCCCTTTCAAATGTGTCAGGGACCCTCAGGGTTCAAATGCCCCCCCCATTGACAATGGCTATTCTAAAGTTTCAGAAGAACTTTGTTTTGACTTACTCTGCTGTTCAGTCATTTCAGATTGATTTAACTGCTTATGTTAATCACTGCTTGCTTTGTTTATTTAATTTTACTCTGTATAATTAATTAGTATCATGATTTCAACTCAACTTGCTATTCTGGCATAGATACAGCCAAATGCAGCACCAGGGCAAAAGGAGAACTTTTGAAATTAGCTTTTCCATCTTGTATGGGCATGTTTCACCATTGGCTTCGATGCAGTTTGATTGGTTGTAACCAGCAAAGTCCTTTTACAAAACAAAAAACCCTCACGCTTTCTGTTGACATAAGATGCTGCAATCTAGGGCAGGCTTCCATGAAGATTCCTGTGCCACTCCCACGCTTTTCCCAAGGGCCCTCTTAAAGCTCTCTTAAAGCAGATTTTGGGAAATACAAGGAGTTACAAAAGAAATGGAGAGTTGTGAGGGGATAATGTCCCAAAAATGAACATTTCCAAACTCTGTTTAATAGCCAACCTAATGTCTTTGGGATAGGTGAAACCCTAAATTAGATATCTAAAACTAATGTAAAGTAGTTTTATGATTTTCCCCCCTCCTCTTAATTATTGCAGGGCCTGAAAACCCCTGGTTGGTGCAAGCATATATCTCTGCTGCTAAGCACCCTTTTGGTTGTATTGTGGCCCAAGAAGTGTTTCAGAGTGGTGTTATTCCTGCAGAAACAGATTTCCGTATTTACCGAGACTTTGGTAATGTTCCAGGTATGTTGTTCGTTAACTACTCTGCTTGCCAAAATATCCATGTGATCAACACTTTGGAAGTTCGTTGCCTGTACCTGTTGTCACTTGGAAAGTTTATTACCTGTATCTCTATCCAATTTCATCTGTCACCCCTTGATGTATATAAACCTGTGGCCTAAATATTTTATTCCATGTACGTATTTAAGAAAATCGATTGCAACTTTGCAAAAGATCTCAGTGAAATCTGTTATGTTTATAGATGCCACTATACTTCACTATACATGCTAAAATATTCTAATATGAGCCATCTCTTTCAAAATCATTATAATGCATTATGATTATATGATGCTGATTACCATTGAAAGCTCAGAGTTCAGTATAAGTTATTAACATCTGCCAAAATAATATGCAAATTACAAAACAGAAAACAGTTTCATGTTCCACCATAGTACTCTTTAATTGTCTGAAATAAAGGAGTGCTTGATTTCTCTCATAAGGATAGAATATTCAGAATAAAAGGGCAAAATAAAAGGGCAAAATAAAAGGGCAAAATTTAAAAATATATACGCTAAAAATTGCCATCAGACCCACAGCTGATATTATTTCAATTAAAAGCCTTCTGGAACAGGAAGGTTTTGACCTGGTGCCGAAATGTCATCAGCGTCAGCGCCAGACAAATCTCAGTCCGGAGGGCATTCCATACTCTGGGGGCAGCTGCCGAAAAGGCCCTTTTTCTACAAGCCCTCCCTCTTATCTCCGTAAGGGATGGCTCTTTCAAAAGGGCCCCCTGGTTAGATCTTAACTATGAGGAAAGCATGCATGAAGAAGACTTACTTTCCTGGTTTGTTAATTAACATTAAAGGTTAAGACCTTTAAAACCCATGACATTCCTTCAGTAGGTGTAATGAGGAATTCTGGCTTAACACGAGGCAGGATCTCTGCACCCAAACTAGCATGGCAGAGGTGGGCAAGAAACAGTGTGACAGGGGTGCCCATGGCCAAAGCTTATAATGCTGAGGGCTGGTATCCAGGTGGGGCTATTTAGTAGGTGAATGTGTCATAAATAATATTTAATCTTATCATTAACATTGTTTAAAACTAAATTTATTTAATGAATGACATATTGAATAATTGTAATTGTATAACATAATTTAATTGTATTGACAGGTATAGACTTAGCTTTCATTGAAAATGGTTACATCTATCATACAAAATATGATACAGCGGACCGAATTCTGACAGATTCTATTCAGAGGGCAGGTTGGTATTCAGAATTTCTTTAACAACAAGTTAAGCCTCAAATTATACTTTTCCTGCTGGTTGTTATGGGCACTCAAAACCACAACACTATATCTTAATTGTGTGACATTGTTAAGAAGATAAGAGTCATGGAAAGAAATCCAGACACCACGGAAAAGTCAAATTAATTAGCACTATGTTTTTTTCATGTGGGTGTGGCAAAACTAATTAATTTTATGTGGGCTGGGTAAAATTTCCTTAATGTTTGCACATTTCATAGATTTGACATCCTGATAGTTTATACTTCAGTCCAGTTTTCTAATGATGAAGGCTTTTCTGTCTTCATTATCACTCTTTGACACTGCAGTGTGTTGTAGTGGATAGTTATGGACTAGGACTCTGGAAAGTGATGGTTTGAGTCCCCACTTGGTCATGGAAACTCACTGGGGGAGGTGGAATTGGTAAAGCTACTCCTTAAATATCTCACTTACCTTGAAAGCCCAATTGGGGTCACTATAAGTGGGTTCTGACTTGACAGCACATATCTGTGTGTCTGTCATTCTTGCCCTGGGAGTGATGTAAAAATACATCATTATTTTTCTTTAACATTTTAGTTTTCTATAGCTATTTTAGAGGTAACAGATTTTTAGTCTGTAAGATTTTATTTTGTAATAATTTTGCAATATAAAGAATATAGACACTAGGTCCACTTATTATTTTGTTACCTTTGTAATTTTTGTTTGACAAAAAAAAAATCCAAATTTCCAACCAGCCATTTTGCAGTTTCATCAGTTTTTAAGAATAATGCATGAAAAGACTGGGGAAAAGACAGATGCTAAATATATGTTTATATTTTCCCAAAGGTGATAACATTTTAGGTGTGCTGAAATACCTAGCAAAGTCAGATAAACTGGCCAGATCTCATGAATATCAACATGGAAATGTTGTCTTCTTTGATGTCTTTGGCGTGTTCGTTCTGGCTTACCCAGCTCGTGTTGGTACCATTATGAATTATGTCATCACAGCAGTTGCTGTTCTGTATCTAGGAAGAAAAACATTGCAGCCAAGTAAAAAAGGTAAGTCAATTTCCATATACAGCTGTGTGGTAAAGCAGTTTAAATTGGGGTGCATCCTATATTCGTGCATTGGTAGAAAAGACTCTTGGGCAATCCAGACTATGGCTTTTTTTTGCTGGTGCACATCTTTACAGCCTACAGAGAAGTCACTGTTTTGTTTTAAACTATGGAAAAAAAGGGAGAAAGAACTGAAGAGAGAACACAGTGTTTGGCGGTAGCTAAATGAAGGAGACCAAAACATTTGACCTAACATTCAAAGAATCTCACGAATTGACTGTTTTACTTTGTTGTGTTAATTTCCTGAGCCCAGTGCAGTTGCTTGCATTGCATCATAGCTGCCTTGAAGCCCTGCGGGAGGAGTCCTAGCACTGGGGACAAAATACTTTAAAAAATTAATAATGCACTTTATCTCTGTGAATATGCTAGCCAAGAAGTTATTTACTGCTGAATAAACTGACCACATGTGAACGTAAGAGCTTATAATACTTATACTATATTATCTCTAACACTTGAAGTTAGTATCCTTAGTGATGTGGTTAAAGGGAACAAGAGATAATATATATGGAAGATGACACATCTTCAGTTACACACATCTTTAAAAGTGTATTTTCTAGCCAGGCCCCTGAAGTCATTGGTCAGTTCTTTGGGATACTAAGTATATGTGTTAGAAATCAAGTCCCATTGTTTTCACTGGGGGTTGCTTCTAGGGAAGGAGACCTGTGGTCTCACATGGGAGTGCACCTCACCATGAAGGTTTCGGGGTGAGTACTGTTACCCCAAATGGGTTACTGTTTTTTATATCCTGGGGAGAGGGACCATGAGAGAAGAGAGAGAGAGCCCATCCAGACTACAGTGGTGCCTCACTTAACAACGTTAATTTGTTCCAGTGAAATTGCTGTAGAGCGAAAACGTAAAGCGAAATTAAAAAGCCAATTGAAACGCATTGAAAACTATTCAGTGCGTTCCAATGGGCTGAATAACTCACCGTCCAGCGAAGATTCTCCATAGGGGTGGCCATTTTATCTGCCTGTAAAGCGAGGAATCTGTCCAAAAACACAGCGAGGAGCCATTTTGAGCAGCCGGCTGCCATTTTGAAAACCCGACAATCAGCTGTAATGTGAAGAATCGGTTCCTGAAGCAGGGAACCGATCATTGCAAAGCAAAAAAACGCCATTAAAAATTGTTTTGCGATTGCAATTGCGATTGCAAAAACATCGTTGTGAAGCGGATTCGTCATACAGGTAATCGTTAAGCGCAGCACGACTGTACTGACAAGAAGACCATACACCAATAATTTTGGGTTAAGCACTATTCATGTAACATTAATTGATGAGACATAAGACATAGAATATAAGACAAAAGGTAACACACAGCAGTCTCTATTAATAACGAAACTGTTTCTATCTTCAGCTTGCATCTTCTTTTGAAGCTCTGTATTAGGTACCCTATCCCATCTTCCCTTGCGATTTCTCCATCTTCTTCTCAGGTCTGAGGTGCTGGTCTTTCTGGAACCCACACACACACTGTCACACTCTGTCACTCAGTACCTTCCTCAGACCATAGGCCACCAGTATTTCCAAGCAAGTAGATACAATGTTTTGCCTTGAAATGGTACTTAATGTACTTTGGAACATTCTTTTTTTTAAAAAAAATGGGACTTTGGAAATTCGCAAAATGTGCTTCTGCATTCCCAGCCGTATCATAAGACTACAAGAACAGTGGGTCTGCTTGAGAGATGCTGCAGTCATTGTGGTATCAGTTGGACATTGCTTGTCCTATATATTGTTGGAATGCTTGAAGAGGCTCATACTTTGCTTTTAATGTCCCAGCACATGTACTTCTTGGCTTCTGTGCTGAAGCCTCCTTGTCCTGGCCTTGTGCTGCTAGAGAGCAGATGCAGTGTTTGGATGGGCTATAAGTGGTGTTTTACTAGCAGAAAAATTACAAGAGTTGTGTCACTACTAGCAGAACTACTGTGATACAAGTTTGAGTGAAATTGTAATGCCTTATGTAAATGAAATCAAGATATTTGATTTTGATACTTGTATAGGAATGAAAACAGAATGTGTAAGAAATAAACTTTGAGCTAGCCCAGAAGTAGTGGGCAGAGCAAAGCCTATGCAGAATAATTTACCTGTCAGAATGATTCAAGAGACCTTCCACACTTAAACTAATGCAGATTAAAAGAGTCCCGTCTTCTATGTCATCCACCAGCAGCTTGGCAACATTCTGAACAACCATCCTTTCCGAAACAAAAACAAAACAGACCACTTTAGAACCCACTGCAGAAATCCAGTTTAGATGAATGCAGTGCATCTCTGATAGTGCTTGCATGTCTCCAAAGGGATGCTGACACACTAGAAAAAGTTGTGCAAATGTACTCTTAGTCATGTGTTTTAAGCTCTTAGTTCAGCTGCATTTAAGAACATTATTTAATTTAATGGGGTGTAAGAATACAGTCGATGTCATCAGTATGCAAATGGTTATTTAAATAATTTATAAAATGTACACACTGAAAGTATTAACCCTCCCCCAACACACATTTCTTGTGCCTTTATGACAATTTAAAATATGTGGGTATACATAGCCGGAAGGTGAGGCATGGCACACACCCCAGTCCTGGAAAGGTAGAACTCAGTCCTGGAAAGAGGATTTTTTTTTTCTTAGACACATTGTTAATTTGTACTCCTGTCTCATTACTAGCTTCAGCTACAAGAATTTTAATAGAAGTATGCTAAACTGAACTTTTAATGTGCTTTCCCCCCCTCTTTCAGCAGTCATTTATCTGAAGGAACTGGCCATTGCCTTTGGCTTCACGGTCCTCAGTTGGTTTGCCACATTGGTTGGCATCCTTATTGTGGCAACGTTTATTTCTCTCATTGGTCGCTCCCTTTCCTGGTATACTCATTTCTATGTGTCCATCTTTCTGTATGGAACTGCAGCATTGGCCAAACTGATTTTTGTACATACGTTAGCCAAGACATTCTATTATAAAGTAAGTGCTCTTATCCTTAATTATGTTTAACACTTTTCACTGTATTTAAGTTTTTCTCCCCATTTCTTATTGTAAATATGTGAGGCTGCCTCAAGGTACCATTGTAAAAATCGGAAGTCTTAAACTAAGTTAGCCTTTTAGTCTGCTTAGCCTAGTGTTGTTTAATGATGGCCAGTTTTTTTTTTCTGGGATCTGTCCTATTGCTTGTTACCTGATGCTTTTAATTTAACATACTGGTAATTAAATCTAGGGTCTTATGCAAGCACAGCATGAAGCGCCATTGAGCAATGGCTTCCGTCCTAAGTTGTTTAGCGATGCAGAAGTCATAGTTGTATGTCCATGAGAGCTTTTCTGTGCTTCATTTGTTCAGCAGACAAAGATGAGGGGCAGGTTTTCTTTTGCATTCCCTTTACATACTTGCATCCACTGAGCTGATTGGGATTGCCTAAAAAAATCCAGACTGGCTGGCCTGCTTCCTGTTTTGAGGGAGAGATGTTGGAGTGACAGAAACCACAGGGAAGCTGTTATCAATGTATGAGCTTCAAAATACCCTTTTGTTAAAAATGCTAACAGCAGAGATACATTTTTTTAAATGAAAGGTTTTAATAGCAATTTGAATTGCAGCAAACTGGCCTTTGATTCTTCGTTTGATTTGTTGAGATATTTCTTCTAAAATCCATGCAAAACCTTCTGCAACTTAAGCCCATTCAGTATAGCCTTGAGCTAGTTTAAAATTAATTTGCTCTAACATTGCCACTGTAAATTGGTGTGCTTGGAGTCCCCAGAAAAATCGAAGGGAGGGAGAGAGGAAGGATGGAAGGAAGGGAGGGAGGAAGGAAGGAGCATGTAACATGGCTGAAGCACCACTACTGTATATACTTGCATAACAGTAAATGCTTTTGAACACAGTGGAATTTCCTTTCAGTAGATATGCATGAGATTGACTTCGCAGTCTACCCTTGAAAACAAATGGATTATATTTTGTTTTGATTTTCTCAGCATGCAAACCAGCAGTTCCTTGGAGAGGTCTTCTTTGATGTACCATTGGTTTTCTGGTCAATCACATTGGCTTTACTTACTTACCTAGGAGTTTCCTCAGCATTTATCAGTGCAATATGGGTAGCATTTCCACTGCTCACAAAATTATTCACCTATAAGGAATTGAAAGAAAAAGGTATGTTTCTGAAGAACATTGGGTTGTTGCATGCTCTTCAATATTTTTGTTAATGACTTGGATGAGGGAGTGCAGGGAATGCTTGTCAGATTTGCAGATGATACAAAATTGGGCAAAATAGCTAGTCCCCCAGAAGACAGACACAAAATTCAAAATGACTTGATAGGATGGAGCACTGGGCCGAAAACAACAGAATGAAATTCAACAGGAATAAGTGCAGCGTACTGCACCTTGGAAAAAGAAACCAATTGCACAATTATAAGATGGGGGATACCTGGCTCAACAAAACTACGAGCGAGAAGGATCTTGGAATTATAGATCACAAGCTAAATATGAGCCAACAGTGTGATCTGGCTACAAAAAAGGCAAATACTATTTTAGGCTGCATTAATAGAAGCATACAGTAGTTTCCAAATCCCATGACGTGCTATTCCCCCTCTATTCAGCACTGGTTAGGCCTCACCTCGAGTATTGTGTCCCGTTCTGGACACCATACTTCAAGAAGGATTCTAACAAATTGGAATAAGTTTAAGAGGAGGGCAACAAGGATGATCAGGGGACTGGAAACCAAGCCTTATGAGGAAAGACTGAAAGAATTGGGCATGTTTAGCCTTGAGAAAAGAAGACTGAGGGGTGATATGATAGCACTTTTCAAATATTTGAAAGGCTGTCATACAGAGGAGGGGCAAGATATGTTCTCGATCATCCCAGAGTGCAGGACACGCAACAGTGGGTCAAGTTAAAGGAAGCCAGATTTTGGCTGAATATCAGGAAAAACTTCCTAATTGTTAGAGCTGTATAACAGTGGAACCAGTTACCCCGGGAGTTAGTGAGTGCTCCAACACTGGAGGCATTCAAGAAAAACGTAGATAATCACCTGGCAGGTATGCTTTGATGGTATTCGTGCACTGAGAAGGGGGTTGGACTTGATGGCCTTGTAGGCCTCTTCCAACTTCACATTTCTATGATTCTACTCAAAATATCAATAGAACCACAAGTGCTGCAAATGCTGGAAACCCTCTTGTCTCCATCCTAGTCTATTTCTCTTTTTTCCCCCTTTCCCTTTCATACTCCTTTTCTTTCTTGCTGGCCTCCCTTTTGCTTCATTTGGTGCCGCTTTAGTTTTTCCGTCTCCTCACTCTCTTTTCCTCCACTTGCTTTCCCTTTCCCCGAGCTGTCCAGCTACTTGCTTGCATGAATAGGTATTTTTTAAAAACTGAAAACAATTCTAAAATTGCTACGGTAGTTCCACTGTCAGGAAATCTACCTGCTTTTTATCTAGTGCTATGATACCTCTCCCGAAATTATAGCTAGAGGCCCTTGTGCGCTCTTGCAGATCTATCAGATAATATTACTGGTGTTATAGTGTTACCAAAATGTATCATTTGTGCAATGAAGGCTGCTTATTTCTCCATCTCTCTTTCCCTGTCTCTGTCTTTTAGGTGCCACAATGAAATTCATTTCAATATACCTCCTAGGAATGTTTATTCCACACCTCTATTTGCTATACCTCAACTGGATTATATTTGAAATGTTCGTTCCCATCATGGGACGCAGTGGTTCAGAAATTCCACCTGACATAGTAATGGCAGCTTTTATTGTTTTAGTTTGTATACTTCTGTCTTCGTATTTGGTAAGAACACTGTTTCTGAAACATACAAAACTTTGTAATCTGCAAATTAAGCTGACTTAATAACTTTTTAACAGTACGTTTAGCAAGTGCCATTGTTTGCCACGAGGGAATGTTGTGGCCTGAGAATGAGTGTTGTCACTCACAGTCCTTTTTTTACCTTGTGCATTTTGCTGTGTTTGTTCTGCACAGTGGGTAGGACAGGGACACGTATGCAGGCTCGTCTGCTCCTCTTTCCCCCTCCATCATGATTGCTTGCATATCCTAGGTTCTGCCTCTTTGGAATGACCTTATTTTTAAATAAACTCTGATACAGTTGGTCTGGAAGGTCTTGCCAACTTTACCTGCAAACAGCCAACAAGGTGATTTCCCATCACCACCACTGAATGCTATGATATAGTAAGGCATGCTCTGGAGGAGTGATTTGAACCCAGAACCATCTCTGCTAATGTTCGCCTCCAATTCTAGTTTTCTTTTCATGGCCCTTTTTTTGTGACATTATGAAGGTGCTACTTGCTTTCTGAAATGCTGAAGGCCAGTTAGGAAAAAAAAAAGATCATTTTTTGCTGCTAAAAATGTTTGCTTTAGTAAAAATGTACCATTTCATCATTAGTGGTTATTTGTGCTACTCCATCATAGAATAATTCTGTATATCTCAGTTTTTAAACTGTTGAACCTGTGGCACACAGCTTGAGGATGGTTGCTAGCTTCCTTTTATACAAACAGCTACAAACTGGCCCAGCTTCCACTTATTTCTCCTGAGAATGCCTGATTTCTAATCTAGCCAACTTCACTCGGTTCTTATGAAACAAACCTGAGTTACACAAGACCAGTCTAGTCAGTTCTCAGGGTAGCTAGAAAATGTGCCTCTTTGATTTCTCCCTGCACGTTAGTCTGCTCTGTGAGTTCTGTGTCAATGGAAAGCCTGCACCTGCACTTTCAGGTGGAGTAATAACCACTAATCCACCCCAGTGTTTCCACTTCACTAGATCAGAATTGCACAAATATATAATCAATTAAAAAAAAGAATACAGGGCTGGTGAAGGGTTGATGGAAGTTGTAGTTCAATATGTTGGGAAGGCATCAGATGAATTGTGCAAGTACACAAAAGAAAGATAGGATGACATAGTTTATTCTACTTTTAGTTTTGAGGAATGGTAGAGAGTTCTGCAGAAACTCTACATGGAGCTCTCTTGCCACCCAGATGTCTTTCCCAAGTTCTTCTTTTAATATCCACAGAAGCTGAAGTCCTGAGAATGTCACCTTGTGAGTTCAGTAGCAGACATTGTGCTCCCCTTCTCAGTCCAGATCTTACAAAACTTCAATGTGAACAGCCCACATTCAGATCTCTCTGGGACAATTAGGACTTCAAGTTGCCCTGGGAAAATCCACAGACCAGTGTTAGGAAAAACACATCCTTGGAGCATAGCTGTAATTCCAGCAGGAGCGAGGTTGAAATGCATCCCCCAACATCCCAGGGGGCTCCAGCTCCCGCACATTCAATATTAAAATTTTTTTAAAAGCCTTTTTTTTAACTAAGAAGTCCTGTCATGCCCTTTAAAAGGCATAGAGGGTAGATTTGCCAGTGTTTCACCTCCTACCACCCCTGGGCCCTCCCTTGAGTTGTATCTCTACCCCCCAATTGGGTCGTAGATAACATGAGGTGGCCTTTTCAGAATATATAGGTATTTTAGAAACCTTTTTAAACGAAAGAAAAATACTTTAGGGTGGGCAGGGCGCATGTGTGGCACAGCAAACCTTGCATTTATTCAAATGTAAACTGAAGCTACCTTTTTGAAAACGAGCATACCAATGTACCAGGTGGTTTTCTTGTATGTGTTTCTGTAAATGGAATATTCTGATCATTGCTCCTTGTTTCCTGTTCCTTAGCTTAAGTTTGTCTACCTTGCCAGAAGCACAACAATGACAACAATAACTTTAACCACTATTTCTGCAATCACCTTCATCCTTGTTTGTGGTGGAATCTTTTTCCCTTACAGTTCAGATTTTGCAAACCCAAGGCCTAAGAGAGTGTTTCTTCAGGTAAGAAGTTCAGAATTGTGGTGCTGAGACATTAGATAATATTTTGTTTTGGGCATCTGGTTTAAAGCACAAACTTTAAGAAGGAGTTGGTTGCTCTGACTCTCCTGTTGCCCACTCTGATGTACCAGGTGGTTTGGGTGGTCAGCAGAGCTGCTGCTATGTTGTATTTTGTAAGGTCCACACATTTCTCTTTGATTTGTTTTCTAATTTAGTACGGTTCTTTTCAGAGTTGAGAAAAGTTACTTTTCGGGACTGCAGCTCCCAGAATATTACATTACAGATTTGTACATAGCAAAATAGCTGTCTAGTTGAGAACACTTAATATTAATGGATTGTCTTAATATGTCTGCTGAATTGGAAGCAAAATCAATTTCATTTTCAAGTCATTTTTTTTACACTTTTCCCAGCACTTAAGCAGACGATTTCATAGCCTGGATGGGCACTTGGAAAAAAGTGATTCTGGAATATGGATTAATGGGCTTGATTATGGTGGAATGTACCATGTTACTCCTCACATACCTGAACTCAATGACTCTATTAGAACAAAATGTGAGGAAGAATCGCCTCTCTGTGGCTTACCTTGGATCCTCCCTGTGGACTATTTATTCAGGTTAGTGCTCTTAATACAGAAGTGTTCTCTTTCTTTAATCTTGCTGTGCCTTTTGCTCAACCCTAGCATCCTGGAAAATGGGTGACTGTTGGAGTTGAAGCAGGCTGTCTCTATTCAGTGGCCTAAATTCAACATAACACTAGTGGAATGAAAATATCCACTGGTGCAGTTCTGCTGGGTTACGTCAGTGGCTCTGGGAAATTAATGTCTTGAGTCCACGGCTGGGGGAATCTTCCAGATTTCACTAGATTCCAGTTCCTTTGATATGTTTCTTTTTCAGTTTCCACTGTGATTTCATTTGTGCTAGGTAAGAATCAGCAGAACACACGTACACATACACATCAGTCCTGGTAGGTTGCCGGAGCAGAAGTGGCAACATCGTATCTGCCCCAGGTCCCATAAACTGTCTGGATGGTTCTGTAAAACTTACTGGGGGCAGGCACTGGGTCATTCATGTCACTATTGATTGTTTTGGCTGGCCCTTACTAAGGCCATTTGTATTGCACAAAGCCTTTTTGACTGCTACAAATAGCCTGAAACAGTAAATTCAGGTATTTTAAAATAGGTAAAGGTTCCCCTTGACATTTAGTCCAGTCATGTCCGACTCTAGGGTGTGGTGGTCATCCCTGTCTCCCAGCCGTACAGACAGTGTCTGTAGACAGTTTCCGTGGTCACGTGGCCAGCGTGACTAGACATGGAACACCGTTACTTTCTCACTATGGTGGTACCTATTTATCTACTCACATTTTTTACATGCTTTCGAACAACATCATCGTGATTCTTTTTTTAAAAAAAGTACAATCCTTTTGTTGTAGAAAGAATTGGTATCTTCCTGCACCAGCAGTTACTCCCAAACAACCTGTTCGCTTTCAGCTTCTCTCCAAAGAGCAAATGCCCTGGGATTCTACAAGATTAACTTTTGAAGTATCAGGTGAGTTGTGACTGCTGTGGTTATTTGAATGCTGACTTTTCAGTGTGGGATACGTTGGCTTTTACTGCTGGCAATGCTATGCCTGACACAGGGGTAGGCAAAATTTAGTCTGCAGAACACATGCACACTTCATCTATTTTTCTGTAGCCTCCCATCATTGCTGCCAGAAGTAAACGAAGGGCCTGAAGAAATTCCCAGGAAATGTGTAATGCAAGGCCCACTGTCCCTGTGAACCTTGTTTTCAGTGGAAACAATCCTTTCTGAAAACTGGACATTGTCTCCTAGCTATTTCTGGTTTCAATTGAAGGAGTAGTGTCTTGTGGCGAGTCCTGGGTAGAGATGAGATATTCATATTCATCTCTTGGGGAGGTGACCAGGCACTTTGGACCCACCTCCCAGAACCAGCTAATCCATTTACTACTTGCGGGTGCTGCATGTAGCTGTCGTCATTTACACCACACCAGTCGCAGAAGGAGCTCAGCCAGCACTTCCCCACCTCCTTGTGCTGCTGACCACTCCAGCAAGGAGGTGGGGTGACAAGTATAAATATGGAGAAGAATACAAATATCCCATCTCTAGTTCTGGGTCTTGCATGGAAAATGATTCCGAATCTACTAACGCTGCGTAAGGTACTGAGAGGTGCAGTAGAGGAAATCCAGGGTCATTCTCTCCAGGTTCCTGGATTGCAGGAGATAAACATAACTGCAGTGAAAATGTACACAAAATGTTTCTGGAATAGGCTGTTGACTTAAATGCTCTGCAGCAATAAACCTGTTAATTTTTCAGGTACTGTAAGACTTTCTTGTCTGTGTAGCACATTACTCTACCTGTTGTAATATGCTTTCAAGGCCTCCAGGTGGAAGAAAAGGGCTGTAGATATACAGTCACAAGACTAGAAATGACATCCAGAAAGAAACAGAAACAAACAGACAAACTCAACAGGCAGCATTTCTAGATAAACTGGAGGATTATACTCTTATAAAAGTGTACTTTCTAGAGAGAGTTAAACAGCATGGCATTCTTTTGCTGTTGAACTATTTTGCTGTTCAGGTTCCACTGTCAACTACTTACTATCTGCACTCTCAGCTTAAACCTATTTCAAATGATTTATTGAGGTTGCAACTTTTGACAGGGAAATCTGGAAATTACAGTTTTCAAGACACTGCAGAGAATTGCCTAGTAGAAAAACCAGGTTTTCTTGCAAAACAATCATTTTTATTATATATTATTTATTTATTATTTATTGTATCATTTGTCAGCACTTATACAGCATCTCTAGAGTGATTCCAATTAGTATCATAACCCCTCCTATTGGAATTACAATTTAAATTTACAATACCATGCGTAAAATATGGGGTAAAAAAATTAAGCTTACAGTGGATTTTCTGAATAAGTTAAAAGTAAGGTAGATCCAAACGCAGCTGTTTTCCCAGCAGAAGTGTTGAAGTAGTCACCTCTTCTAGTTTTCTTTGGTATAACTTAGTGGTTTCCAGCTTTGGGTAACCCAGATGTTCCTGGACTGCAGTTCCCAGAAGCCTTTACCACCAGCTGTGCTGCCTGGAGTCTGTGAGTTACAGTCCAAGGACCCCTGGGTTACCTAAGCCACTGGTATAAACAAATGAGTCAGTTTATAACATGTAGATTTGGTTGATTCCATTCTGAAATCTTTGGCTACGTTCTTGTACACACTGAGCTGGGATGGAGGTCCATGAGAGCAATTTTGAGTTCTAATTTTGAGGAGAAATGTACAGGGTTGCATTCTTGGTCTCCTTTTTAGTGAGTAACAGACATTGTGAAAAGATTTAAATGGGCATCTGGGGCATGAGAAGGTTTCCAGCTGAAAATAAATATATGGTGGCCCTCAAAGACTTCTTATTTCTGAAAGTTCAACATTAATGTAGGAATCCTTGTCTGCTTGGTGCTACAGGTCCAAGCCATATGTCGCTATACCTTCGATCTCATCCAGGTGCAACACTCTCCAAATGGTCACTGGGACATGGAACACCTGTTGTGAATGCCATAGATGGGGATTACTTTGTATATTATTCACATGGGCTCAAAGCCTTACCATGGCACTTCTGGATAGAGCTGAAGGTGAGACTGCATCATAAACCCTGAAATCTGTTTATTGAAATATTGAAATGGTTTATCGTTTGAGAACAGAGTGATCAGTGGAATTGGTTGATAATTATTTGGCCTGTATCCTGTGAAGTCATTGTGCCGGCACAAGGCCTGGCTAACATAAGGCATTAGCAGTTATGCCATTTCAAGACGTAGCACAAAGGTGATACCCAGTACTGATTTTGCTGCACAAGAGGTTGTGCAGGCTTAATGTTACACAACTGTGTTCACAGGGATTTTCACTCTGCTGCCGTTACATTGTGTGTAAGACTTTGTCATATGGTGACAATATAGGGTTGTGGGGCTTTTCACACATTTTCAAAGCTAAAAATTCTTCCTGGTTGTGCTGTCCCTTAAAAACAAACCACATCCTTGGAAGTCCCACACGTCATGGAAAAACACACCTGCAGTGGAATCTTGAATATGACAGGCTCCATTGAATTCAGTGGGCCATAATTCTGAATAGAACTGAACAGGCTTGCCCTGTAAGCGGCCTGTGCATTTGTCTAGTTGGTTGCCATGCAAGAGAGGAGCTTTGCCACAAATGCTGTTCTTGTTTATTTCCTTGTCAGAAAGAGGGGTTTGTTTGTCTGCTTGTTTATCTTATTCGTTCAGATTCTCAGTTCCCAGGCTTCCCAAGGCAGTTTGCAGCATAAAAACAGTAACAGTCAACAAATATATAAATCAAATCAAATTAAATGTAAACAATTTTAAACTGTACCGTTGCAGTACAATTGTTCCTGCTCAAAAAGAATGTATGTTAACCATTTCACTTTTGGGGGGTGAATTAGATGTGGTATGTTCATCTGCACCCCTCGAGCGAGGCATGTCCCTTTCCTTTTCTTGTGCCTTGTTTCTCTACCCCGTTCCCATTAAAAAAAAATGACATTGGTACATCGCTATGTCAGCAAAACGCCCTTGCTGACGATGTACTGATCTGGGCCATTTTTTTCCTATTTCCATGCTTCGTTACCCTCTGTAGAGGAGAATCCACAGTCCAATGCAGTGGTGGTCAAAACACAGTGGGGGAACTGATGCTCCATACTTTACAGAAGTATACCAATGCACTGACATTCCTGTTTGAAAATTAATTTTAAACAAATTAAGGGAGTTGAACGAAAGCGGATGAGGGAGGTGGGACCACATGCCAGATGCATAGGAAATGAATCTGTTTTGGAGTACACATTCAATGAGATGTTGGTTGTACTGTGCAATGAAACATGGAACAGATATATTAGTAACCTCCCAGCTGACTGAATTTGATGTGGAGACAGCACACGGGGGAACAGAAGAATTGATAATGGCCTTGTGTTGTCTGAATCCCCCAAAAAGGGTCAAAATTCATGAGGAGTAACTCAAAAATATTTTGCTGGTGTGACTGCAGCCTCAGTCTTCTCAACATAAGAGGAAATCAGGGACATCATTTCTGCTCTGGTCCTTGTGGTAAAATCTCATTTTCTGCCTTTTCTGCAAGGGTGATTTTCTGCTTGTACTTACACAATCTCTCTAGGCATATTTGACTCAGATCTGGAAATTTTCAGATAAGTTTCTTGAGATATTCAGTAATAAGAAAATGCTTTTCTTCTGCATTTTCCCATTATATGTAATTCAATCTCTTTCTTTACCTATCAGCAAGAATTCAAAAATGCACATCTGGTATGCATCTGTTTTTATGCATGAGAACTCCAAACAGTTCTAAAATAAGTATGAGAGTGCAAGTCTACACTTTCTTGCTGCCTATTTAGACCATATCCAATATATGTCCCTAATCAGTTATAGCATATGCTAAATGCTTTTTGTCATAACTTTGATCTGTGCCATATCTGCTTCTACAATCATTGCCCGTTTTCTTCTATGTCTTGAACTTACTTGTAAAGCATAGTCTGGACAAATGTTGATTCAAAAGCCAGTATTTTGAATTGCACATTTCATTATTATCATTATTATTAGTTTTATTTATATGCCGCATTTATCCCAACAAGGACCCATGTTTCTTGCCCTTAATCTTAGAACACTTGCCAGCTGTTAACATTCATTTAAGTAGCATAATGTCTGAGGATAAATTTGTTGTCATGTCTTTTTGAATCACTTCCAACTTAATATTGATGGTCTTTATAGGATTTTGAAGTATGTGATTGGTTCAAGGAGTGGTTTACCAAGGCCAGCCCCCATTGATTGCTGTGGCCCAGCAAGGATTTGAACCCAGGTCTGGTGACTTCTAATTTGACACTCTCCCCACAACACCACACTGGTTTTCCAAGGCGGCCATTACGTTACCCAAAAATTGAGATGGAGCCTGCCTGGCTGAGATAATGAAGCAGTCTGTACTTTTCTTTCCACTGTCCTTCTGCGGGGATGTTAGGGTGTTATAATTTACAGCCCACCCTGTTCTAGTGTGGTTCTCAGTTCTCTTGAGTACTAGCATCCACTAGATCAGCTATATAGTCAAGGGTAGACCATTTTTGCCCTTTGGGTGTTTTGGACTGCAACCCACTTATCTATTGAGCCTTGGCCATGCTTCCTGGAACTGTTGTGGTGTAAAACCCGGATGGCATCAGGTTCTCTATCTCTGGTATAAAACAACAATAACAAGAGAAAAGGAGAAATCAATAGCATTTCTGCTTTTTTAAAAAAACCACTGGGGATCTGTTGCCTTGCCTTAATTTAGAACTGAAACTATCAGCCAGCAGCCTACCTCCTGCTTGTAGTGCAGAGGAGTGAGCTTCTCTCCTTGTAGCCTGCCAGTCAGATTCTTACAGAGCAGTTTTCTTCAGACTCCAGCTAGCTTAAGGCTAGAAGTCCAGTCAGTTCTGAAGTCTCCAGCAAGTTTAAACCACAGATTCTTTTGGAAATATATTGTCAGCCTAATTCTCTGTCCTTCTTTCCATGTCCATGAAATAGCTGATTACTCTGATTTCTTTGATTATGAATTACTCCTTTTTCTTTTTTAGTTGCTGAGGGGAGTTACCCTTTAGCTCAGTTTAGCCCACTTGCCACAAGACAAGTGCATTTCGACACGTCTCATTGTTGTCATATGGGCCTCTGTGCTATCTGCTAGATACCACGTGCTTCTGTTTGATTTCTGTGCCGGGCCCTGTGCTTGCAGTCCTCAAATCTGCTGAACTTGCCTTTAACGATAACACAGTGTTGAGTGTCTTGTAACCAACATAGAAGCATTATTACATTTGATCTCGAAATGGGGAAGAATATTCTGATTGTGTCGTTATCTATCTAATCTTCTTTTTATTTTTCTACCTTTTAGGCCTCAGAAGAGTCCCCTAAAGGAATGGTCACTCTTGCTCTAGGTACCCATTATTTCTTTGGGGAAGATCAGACGTCACCTCAGTTGCATGCCTTACTTGACAGATTCCCCAACTGGACATTTCCCTCAGCCTGGGTCTCCACTTATGACCAATATATCTTTTAACTCAGAAATAATATGAAGATCAACTGTTTTCCTTACATGGTTGGATGCAACGTTTCTCCATAGGGAGTTTGGGCAAGCTGGAAGATATAGTGTTATTAACAAAATTACTATGAAAACCATTTAGCCACAAGTGTATTTCTATGGCAGTGGGAATCTATGGAAAATTGAAGCCACTGTATTTCCTGTTTGGTGGGGAAAGAGGTGGTTTCTGTGTCTTTTATGCAAAATACCAGTTCCTTCTCCCACTTGAATGGCCCCCCATTCCATTCATCTGCTGTTGGCTCTGTGTGAAAACTGCCTTTTGGGGCAAGGTATTAGAACAGCCCTCCTGAGCCTTTTTGCAATAATAGGGGCTTTGTTCAGGAATGCCAAGCACAATATAAAATGCTTCATAGGCTTTAAATAATACAACTGCTGCAATTCCGTAATACTTTAACAAAGTTTGCTCTGAGCAACTAGAATAAGGCTTTTTGAAAATAAATTTTTATGAGACTGTTCATTGTGGATGATAAATAAGAAGATACGATGACCATACTCCTGCAGTATTGGTGCCCATTTCAGACACACTTCTTTGCCCAGAATTCTTTAAACTGTAGTGCCAGAGAACTTGGTGATGATTCTCTTGGGATTCCTATTTTTGTCTGTCCTAGCCTTACTGGGTTTCTCCCACTCTCTTTTTGGACATTGTCCTTTACATAGAAGTTGGATCAGACCTATCTTCTGTTCACTCCTCTGTGGAATCCAAGCAACATGAAGACACACATAGCTCTGCAAAGTGAACACATAGCGTTTATTTTGTATATGTAGAAGCACTGAACCACCATCCTGGTCTTCCGTATGCTTATGTGCGCATTTTGTGACTTTGTTCTTGACTGGTGACTGTTGCATTAGTGATAACAAACTTTTGTGTTACTTATTTGATTTCCTAAGAGTTTTCCAAAATCTAATCAAAGCTGAGAGAGCTGTCCTGTAAAAAAACCTCATGGGAAAACTGAACTGTGTTAGTACTGTGGTTCCATGTCTTTGTTTTAGTCAAAGATGTATGAGCGAGCTTCTCTTGAGTCAGAGATTTAGAACATGTTATGGATATTGAGTAACTGAGTTGCTATTCCCCTCCCAGATTTGCAAAGGCTGTGATCTTATGATTCCTAGAAGGGTATCCCAGGTGCTACAGATTACAGTGGATCTCCCTCTCTAAGCTCCAAAAGAGAGATCCTTCCGATTTTCTCTAGAGAAACCTTTCCTGCCCTTGCTATTGCATTGTCCAAGCCCACAAGGTAAGAATGTGTTAGAAGGGTGTTGCATCACACTGAGAAAAACCTTGAACCTGCAGGACCTATAGCTCCCTTATTTTCCTAAAATAATCAACCCCCACCCACCTGCCCCATATACCTTATACACCTTATTTCTGAACTGGAAGAAGTGGAGAAATGGAACCAAAGGAAGAAAAAAAGGGGTAAAAAGTTGCTTCCCCCTCCTTAATCCTGCTTTGGGGGGCTCCATCCTTTGTGCCGTAATATTGGTTTCTAATTACTTGAAGTGCAAAGCCCAAAGATTTCAGTGCATGGGGAAATGTTGCAGATCAGACCATTTGTGAAGAGTCCTTTATGATTAATCTAGGACAAACAAATTGTGTAAAAACACACAGTGTATTTAAAATCATTTATGGGCTGGCTACATGCAATGATAAATTAGAGCAGATGTTTCAGATCCTCTCGAGATCCTTTCTTGGATCTTCAGTGAAACCCTTTAACTGAAAACAGAAAATACCTGAAACCGCAAGCTGCCCACTTTGGGCACTTTTTATGTTCATTGCACATAGCATTACATAGTTTCTGTGTCTTAGTAGCACGGTCATCAGTGTAATATAGCCATAACTATCCCTCTGCTGTGAAAGGTAGAGGGGCCAATGCTTGCCAAAGTGTTTATACACATATTCATTCTTATTCTATGTATATATGTTACAGTAAAGAAGCTGTACTAACTGTAGCTCCAGAGGTGCGAGAAGAAAGGCAGTGCTGGCAGACAGCTTTGTTACCTTGGTCATGTTCTCTTAAGAATACAATCTTATGTTGCCCCTCTGCTAGCTCATAGAGACTGGGATGTGAAGCATTGCACTAAATGGGTAAAGGCATTCAGAGAGAGAACATCAAATCATACAGAAAGGAGTATGTAAGAATGCTAATTCCATTGATACACCTTGAAAGTAAAAGTGATTAATGACATTGTTTCAGCACTCTAGTATTCCAGTTTGATATTGAAATCTGCTGTGTTCTTCCATTTAGGTAACTTACCAAGGTAAAGATTTGACTGGAGTCTTTAAAAAAAAGATAAGTCTGTAATTTTGAATGTCATCATTCATTCTCTTGGAAAGTGTTTCATGACCATAAATCAAAAATAAGTGTATGTAAATGAAAACCCCAGTAGCTGAGCATTTAGCTTTTCTTAGATACTGTGGTGTTACAGTCTGTATTTAATTGCCTCTGTTCCCTCTCCTTGGGTGCTCTGGACAAGGAAATGCAGACTTTCCCAAGAACAGGACACAGTCACGTTTTACCAGGCATTACAGAGTGGGGACACAAATCTAGATCTGCTGTGGTGGCACTTGCATATTTAAGTGCAATATATGATTTAGCCTTAAGTAACAGCATTGCTATATATGTTGAACTCAGACATTTTGAGCAAAGCTTATTAAATGGAGCCTGCGTTAGCATATGCATGAACTTTTTTGGATCTAAAGAAACTGCTTTTGCATGCCATATTCTCCCCTTCACTTTGTTTGCTTTTTTAATTCCTAGGGGAAAGCACCATATTCTAGATGTAGCTCATTGCTCTTTTAGTGTGTATTTCAGTCCACTCCTCTGTACAGCTTGTGCTCTCCAGGAAATCCAAAGTGGAGACTTTCTCAATCTGTACAGGAGAAATCCACAAAGCCTTTCCCAAACTGATATATATTGTGCCTCTAAACTTCTGTAATATTTTTAAATGATTCTGCATGAGGTATATATGGAGCAGTGAAAAATACCCCTCATGTCTCAGAGCATGCTCAACGCATCAGGGCAAGTAATAAGTTTTGTTCCTTAGGGGGGAAATGCCTGACTCAGGATATATCTTCTGTTAAGTAGCAAAATGCAATATAGGATGGATGCCTTTATTGTGAACTCCTGCCTTTGAAGAAATACTTCATTGTCAAGCACATACATTTATTTATTGACAATTGTCTTGTCTTCCTTTTAATATTGTACTGAAAACCCTAGTATAGCTTTTCAGCATAAAGTGTTGAATAACAGAATGAGTGTATGAACAAAAATCCTGAGTTTATTGTATAACCAAGCCACACACTTTGGGCTAGCTTAACTGTGAGCTTGATTTTTATAAATATAACACAAGCTGGTATATCTGTGTTCTGACTGTACCATTTCAGATTGCACATAGAGGCTCACATGATTGTCCTTCCATATAAGAACCCTAGTTTGTTTTCTCTCAAGCTGTGCTAATCCTATGTGTGCAAGATATCATTTTCTTATGGGAATTTCCAAATGTAAGCCTTTAAAGTGCTGTTTAAAGTGTTCTTTTAGTAATGCAACCTTGACCCAGAATTAAATCCCATTGAGTTTAACATGTTTTAGTCCCAAATTAATGTGTATAAGATTACAGCTAGGGAATACAAGTTTCCTGACATCTTCTGTTTCAAGAACTGCTCCATAGGTTACAGGCATGTCTTGAAACAGCCATGAAAGAAACACACTAGAGGCTAAAAGGAAAATAGAATATATATAGAAGGTAATTGATGCAAAGTAAAATGATTTTATGAAGTTTTCTTTTGTATTCAAGTGTTCTGATTAGTTCACTTTACCAAGTTGAAAATAAAACAAGGGAAACACAATTGAATTTTTCTTACATTGTGGAACCTGCCTTAAGTAGCACTTCTACTAAACCTATTCTGAATGTGTTGTCATTGGAGCTAGGTTTTTTTAAAGACACAGGAATTGTGCTCACTAGCATTTTCATAAAGTTAGGGGATAGGCTGCAGGCTGAATGTACCTCAAAAGTCCCATATTTGGTTCCCCATCACTGCTGCCCCCACCCGCATTCTTTAATTTTTTTAAAAACATTGCTGCTAGAGAGCACAAGGAAGATTTTTCATTAAAAATATGTTTGAAGATAAGTATTTTGGGGAGGTGGGAGCGGAGGTGGCCCTCTAAGCTTCAGGGGGATTTCTACAATGCTATATAGTTTGTCAACTTGGTATAGGCTGTACATCAAATGTTCCAAGTTACTGTACCATACAGCACTTGATACAAGGAGAGGGAGAGAGGTGAGGAAGAAAGGCTACAGATGAATGTAGTAGGTCAGCTGTGGAAATGCATTTGCAGCAGTGAGAGTCTTCAGATGGATGTGGGGTGTCTTAGTGAATTTAAGAAACATGGAACTACACTACCACCATCCTTTCATTATTAGCTTCCATTCAAGTTTCATTGAACAGTGTCACAGGTTATAAATAAAAATACCAGTTTGGGTGGTACTACTTGCAGCCATGTTTTACTAGCAGGAAGATGTTACTTGATTTATAGCACATCCAGGTTTTAAGTGTTATTATTAATCTAGTTTCAAAATCTATGAACTGGAAAATCAGCTGGAATGAAAATGCTTCAAATGGGCATAGATGTGCTACTTCCTTCCTGAAACAGCTGGGGATATGCATCTACACAGTCAGATAATGGTATTCTTCTCCATGGATTATTCAAGTAGACATGCATCAGAAATATCCCTCACTGGGGCAAAGGATGCTATAGAACAAGCCTGCTTGCCTCCATTATCAGGCAAACAGATGCTTTCCCTTCTTTGCTGATTCCGTAACTAATGTGGACAAGAAGTGTGGGTAAGTGAAGGCAAAGAAGGAACACTGTTGTTGCCTACTAGCAAGAGAAGGGAAAACAATTAACTACACTATGTGAAGCTTAGTCACTTTGATATATGTAAGGTGATAACTTTAAATTGCAGGGTGAGGCGTTTGTATGAAAATACTCACCCATGAGTTCTATGCAATCAAGCTGGGGTCCTGTCCAAATTAATTCCATAGTTCAGTGGAGTGAAACAGGGCTGCGTTTTAGCTGTTCAATTTTTACATCAATGCTATAGTTGAAAATCTAACAAATCCTGATTTTCACTCTCCTAGATTGTCTACCTGCTCTTTTATATGCTGACAATGTAGCATTATTGTCTTTAACTTGTGTTGGCTTAAGACAACTTTTAAGGGCTCTCCTTATTGTAACAAAAAGCAGCTAACTATTAACTACTCAAAAACTAAGGTGTTGGTTGTTAGCAGAAGGGGAATCAAGCACAAATGGTCTATCAATGGGAACCCCATAGAGCAGGTGTCAAGTTATAAATATTTAGGTACAGTCTTTCATTCCTCTGGATCCCGGCTCTCCCATATAAAGCATGCAGCAATGAATGCACAGAAAAGTGCTACTGCATTTTTTTATTTTATTTTTTTGCAATGAGGGGGGCAACACATTCCATCAGTGATCCAAGTGTTTAAGGCTAAAGTAATTGCACAAATGCTGTATGGTTCCCAGTTATTTGCATATTCCAATCTGCACCCTCTTGATTTTGTCCAGTCCAAATTTCTGAGAGCTATATTTGCAGTGCCTCCTTGTGTCCCTAATGCAGCTCTACTCCTAGAGGCAGATTTAGTCTCCATCAGAGAGCATGCCAAGGTTCAATCACTGGCTAAAGCTTATCTTCTTCCCACAAGGTTTGGCACCATTGACTCTTTCCAACACCTTCCAATCGGAATGGAAGTGTCACCTGATAAATGCAGCTATGCTAATTGGTCTTTCCCCAAACACCCTTATAGCAATGGGTTATGCCAATGCCAAATCAGTTGTCAAGCATAGGATCTGGGACATAGAACTTAAAGAACATTTATGTTCAGTGGAAAATCCAGTGTTGTAAAAAACGCCTTTATACTTCCCACCTATATGACCACTGTAACACCACCTAAATCTAGAAGAGCTTTAACCTTAGCTAGATTTAATGTGCTGCCTTTTAATTTCCTGGGAGATTTCAAGACATACCCTATTCTGATCATTTATGTCCTTGCTAGGGTAGTGAAGTAGAAACAGTGGGGTATGTCCTCTTGTACTATCATTTCTATCAAGCTCTCCACAAAGAATTAATATAGCCATGCCACAAGCAAAAGAAGTAAATCACTCATGCACAGCTTTCAACAGTTAAGGAGAATCCTATCACTGCGCTTAAGACTGAATGATGGGAGGTAGCCCTAGTTCCCTATTATTTGCTTTAACTACACTTTTGAGCTTTTTTCCTGTTCTTCCAGACCGTGTTTGGTTGTACAGTAAGACCTTATCCACAGGGGAATGGTTCCAAGCCCGCCCACCCCCGCCCCCGGATATTGAAAAGCACATATTATAGATAAGTCTCTTGGAGCCAGCACTCTGTATCTAATTTTTATCTCGAGTATGAGTAAGAATCAAGTTGAAATCTCTAATTTCTGTGCTGAATACTTTCTCTGTCTCAATGGCTCTGCGAGTTTTCTTCCAAGATAATTAAGAATCAATTTCTTTGTTAGCCTGGGAGTATTGAGGAAGGTGCTGGCTGGAAGACAGGAAGGATGGGAGGCGGGAAACCTCTCTAAGTAGGCAATTTGGTTTATGTTAGCACCCCTCCTGCCGTGCCAGCCAAATCATCTCTTAAATTTTACAACACTGCTCTAGAAGCAAGCTGCGTCAAGCTGCTGGAACTAGGCGAAATGGCAGTGGCTTACCTATATAACATAGTGTTTGATCCCCTCTGTTGGCCAGTCTGATAACTACATATTGAAAATCCATATTTGTAGGTACAGTATTTTCATTTAATATTTTCAGACTATGGATAAGTGAATCAGTAGATAGTGATCCAGCAGATATGGGGGGTCGTACTGTACTTATATTTATGGTGGAGTTCTTGGTATTATAATTTTATAGATAATTTGATTTTACTTTTATTCTTTTATGGCATTTGTAAGCTGCCTTTAGTGCCATTTTCTAGTGGAAAGGCACGGTATGAATGTAATATATATTTAAACATCTCAATAAAATATAACTAGTCAGTTCTGTAGTAATGCTTTCAATAAAACTAAACGTGTACAGGCCTGAAAAGGGTTGAAAAGTCATGAGCAGTGTGTGTAAAAAACAAAACCAACCCATGGCTATAATCCTATTACATGTTTACACCAGCAAAATTCCATAAACTGATATACTTCACTACAGAAATGTATGGTGAAGTCATTGTAAGCATTTGTTAGCACACATTAAGTCAACTTGCAGTTTTTTTCTCTCTCATGGTACTATGTTAGAAATTCTTGGAAGACCCTATTAAAATCTCCAGGTTTCTTCCTTCTGCAATGTTGCATAGACAAAAAAGCCTTTACCATTTTAGGACATCAGAGGTGTCACTGAGTATGAGACAGCTGGAGGTGGAGTTAAACAGGGCATGCAGATTTTTAAAAATATACATAAAGGTTATAGCAAGAGAATGTCCAGGGCTGGGCAGAATATCAAATAATTAAATCCAGTATAAATATTACTTTAAATCAAATTCACCTTGGTCATGATTTAACAGAGAGCAAATGGAAGCCACAAGTAGTTTCAGACATCTAGATATAAAACATAGTGTAAAATTAATATCCTTAAAGCAAGAAAATGGATACATGGGCCCCTCCTGTAACACCATACCAAACTGACAAGAAGTATCGCGTGCTAGGTTGTTTCCACCCTTTGTCACTTTATTTGAAATTTATTGCACATGTACCAGTACTAATGGTTTTACCAATGGTAAGGGCTAAGCCATACCAGTAAAACATATGTAGTTACATTTATCCATTAGAAGACAGTTTAACTTTGCCCTCTAGAAAAATATACAAAGTTATAACCAGCAATTTTAAACTTCTTTTGAATGTTCAGAACGCATTATCGGTTTAGATTTCATACAGAAAATTGCATGAACAAATTGAGAAACCACACAGGGGCTGTGGTAGACAGGGAAGTTCATTCTCCTATTCAATAAATAATTTTGGTCCATGTCATTATTCATTTTATCCACACTACAAAAATATGTATTAGCTTTTGTATAAAAGTAGAAGTGTTGATTTTTTCCCCAACTGGACAATACAAACCAACAAATGTCTAAATTTTAATACTGTTACAGGTATTTAATATTACATATCTTCAAAACAGCAGAGGAAAAAAAATAAGTACCTCAAAGCAATCCATGAGATTCTGCTGCAGCCAGCTTTTCATAACGTTGTATGAAAGTTAAAATAAACATTTTTAATTAGTTACAAGTATAAGCATTATAAAATATTTGCAAGGTGGTGGTCTATATACACTGTACACTGTCACTATGAAGCATTAAAAGCAGTATATAATGTAGGCCTATTTACATAAAAACTAGGTTCCACTGAAGAATTTACAAGTGAAATAAATAACCTTCAGTTATTTGATTAATTTCTTTTTCTTTAGGAATACACCTGAATAGGCCAACAACAAGCTGAAATCCCAAACAACTGATAGTACTCTCTTGAAGAGTCAAAGTCTATTGCACTCTTACAGAAATGCAACTTTGCCTTTAGTTTTTCTGGAGTAGGAAGTACAAGCATGCAAGACAGAGAGGGCTACCCTCACTGTGGTACAAGCACCAAAAGCATAAACAGTAACCTTGAGAATATACAAGAGTATTCACAAAACATACAATGTATTTTACAATTATTTAATACAAAAGTTTAGTGATATCAAACAACATAATCTCTAGAACAGACACAGCCTAGCTCAATCATGCCATCATTTCCTCTAAGCAATCAAGCTAGGCAGAATATACCAAATGTTCATCTCAACTAGCTTAACTGTCAAAATTTTCAAATGTGGGTTCAAAAACCAGGCAATCTGAAAATTAAACATACTCCTAAGTATTGCCTTATTTTCCAGGCAGAATGATTAATTAAATTGTTTTCCAATATCAGGATGCAGTTTGTATTCTAGGAACCCAACAGTCATCTTGTACAATACAATAGATGTTCTGCATGATCAAGTTAAGTACCAAAAACAAAAATCTAAGGAACAAAGAGAAAAATCCTAAGTCTTCAAAATAAAATACTTTTCTATGCAAATTATAATATTGTAGCTTTCCAAATGACAATTTTATAAATGAATGAGCAAGCCTGCTTATTGGGAAGCACTCACAGATTTATGAAAGTTCTTTAGTCAATGTGTAAAAAAAGATATTAAAGTAAAAAAAAGAATTTAGCATTCTTGAAGGCTTTGATTACTTTTCTCCAAAAGCAATTATTCTTAGAGATCATTATTGAGAAGTTGTGCTCTTATTAATATGATCAGCCAACAGTTTCAAAGCTATTAAGACACAGTGCAGTCATAACCACTTTCCTGGAGTAAATCTTCCTCTTCCTCCAATCCAAGCATGTCCTCATCATGTCGAGTTGTGCTGCTACTGCCAGTATCACTTTGAGGACTGGCACTGTGACCAGCTGAACCTCTGTTTTCTTCTGCCCTTGGACTGGCTTGTTCGGTCACCCTTGATAGGTTCATAGGCTGAAAGGCTTCTGGTTGCACTTGTTCCTCTGCTATCTCACTCAGCTTCTGAAGTTGTGGTTTGATTACAGTTAAAAATGGCTTATACCCAGGACTACAGGACACCAAGCGAGAAGAAAAGCAATTTAGTTCATTATCTTGAAACTCCAATTCAGGCTTTAAATGCTTCCTGGTCATGCAAACCCTCATACTGCACACATAAAATTAAGGGCTGTGGAAAGTCTTTTGAGTAACAAATACCCTTAATTTTTCCCTTATTGCTATGAAGGTTGGGCAGTATAAATATAATTTGGAAACCTGAACCTCAATGTGTATTTTGAAACAGTAACAGTACATGAATCACACTGACAACTCTGCACATCAGTAGTTCCCAGCCTTGGGTCACCAAGAGATTCTTGGACCAAAATTCCCCAAAGCCTTCACCACCAGCTGTGTTGGTAGGGTTCCTGGGAGTTGCAGTCCAAGGATGGGAACCACTGCTATACATAAATATTGGCCAAACTCTTGTTCTGTAAATTACACCTGCATAATGGTAATGTCATCAGCAGGATGAAATTTTGTTAATTAAAAAAAGCCTGCTTGTGAGTCATACTGTACATAATGAGTCTCATTGTGTTGGCAACACAAGCCACAGAATACAAGCAGAACTTAATTACTGTCAATTCCCCCTTGCTAATGCCATCATCACATTGATGCAGTTATAATTCACAAAACAGGATCTTGGCCATTTTATTGTTTTCATGATCCTATACACTTTCTAAAAAGGATACGTAACTTACCTGTAATGGTGGTTCCTTAAGTGGTCATCTATATATCCACACTATTGGGGTTCTGTACCTGTGCAAACATTGCTAACGTGCTGGATTATGGAGAAAGCCAGAGAGTTCCAGAAAAACATCTACTCTATGCAAAAGCCTTTGACTGTGTGGACCACAGCAAACTATGGCAAGTTCTTAAAGAAATGGGAGAGCCTGACCACCTTCTCTGTGAGAAATCTATATGTGGGATGGAAGCAACAGTTAGAACTGGATATGGAACAACTGATTGGTTCAAAATTGGGAAAGGAGTACAACAAGGCTGTATATTGTCTCCCTGCTTATTTAACTCATATGCAGAATACATCATGTGAAAGGCTGGACTGGAGGAATCCCAAGCCGGAATTAAGACTGCCGGAAGAAATATCAGCAACCTCAGATATGCAGATGATACCACTCTGATGGCAGAAAGTGAGGAGGAATTAAAGAACCTCTTAATGAGGGTGAAAGAGGAGAGCACCAAAAATGGTCTGAAGCTCAACATCAAAAAAAACTAAGATCATGGCTACTGATCCTATCACCTCCTGGCAAACAGAAGGGGAAGATACGGAGGTAGTGACAGATTTTACCTTCTTGGTCTCCATGATCACTGCAGATGGGGACAGCAGCCACAAAATTAAAAGACACTTCTTGGGAGGAAAGCCATGACAAACCTAGACAGCATCTTAAAAAGCAGAGACATCACCTTGCCGACAAAGGCCTGCATAGTCAAAGCTATGGTAGCGATGTATGGAAGTGAGAGCTGGACCATAAAGAGGGTTGACCGCCAAAGAATTGATGCTTTTGAATTGTGGTGCTGGAGGAGACTCTTGAGAGTCCCCTGGACTGCAAAGAGATCAAACCTATCCATTCTGAAGGAAATCAACCCTGAATGATCACTGGAAGGACAGATCCTGAAACTAAGGCTCCAATACTTTGGCCATCTCATGAGAAGAGAAGACTCCCTGGAAAAGACGCTGATGTTGGGAAAGAGTGAAGGCAAGAGGAGAAGGGGATGACAGAGGACGAGATGGTTGGACAGTGTCATCAAAGCTACCAACATTAATTTGACCAAATTCCAGGAGGCAGTGGAAGACAGGAGGGCCTGCCGTGCTCTGGTCCATGGGGTCACGAAGACTCGGACATGACTTAACGACAAAACAACAACCTGCGCAATCACAGAAGCTCCCAAAGCTCTAGCTTTGCATCTTCTTCTCCCTTGCTCTTTATTGCACCTGCATTACTCAGTCCCATTTTGTCTGCCGCTAAAATGGCAAGTTATTGTTATTGGAGAGACAAACTGAAGAAGTAGGCAGGTTGTGTGAATAAATAAATGACCACTCAAAGAACCAGTTACAGGTGAGTAACCTGTCCTTTGTTGTGGTCTCTATGATTCACACAATTAGGTTATTAGCAAGCTCAGTTCTTGGAGGTAGGGTGCCACACCAGAACTGAAGACAGGATTGCTCTACCAAAGGATACATCTCTTTGAGCTCTTAGGTCAAGTCTATAATGAGTTGCAAAGGTCTGCAGCCGCTCTACAGATCTTTTGAATACCAGTTCTTCAAGAATGCTGCTAAAAATACCATCAACCTAATCACATGACTGTTCATATGCGACATCAATTTAACATTTGTTCATATCATAGGCCAATTTTATTCTATGATCTACCCATTTTGAGATGTGCTGTGAAATTAATGTGGAGCCTTTCCTAGGGCCTTGTTGAGAAATAGTCATGACATTTTTCAGAACTCTTTAGTTCTTGATAAATAGAAGGCTAATGCCCTCTTCCTATCTAAGGTATGCAATGTTCTTTATAAATCAGTTTGTGGTGATGGATAAAAGGTTGGTAATTTTAGTGGTTGTGACTAGAGATAGGGGTATTTTAATATGAATATCCCCCCACAGGTGCAGATAACAAGGGTCCGCCCCCCTGGGACCAGACCGACCACTCACCATTCCATTGCTGCCGCGGGCTCCGCACTCCCTTCCTATTGCTCATGATAGATTAGCCACTCCTGGCAGAAGGAGTGTTTAAATAACTGCAACGAAGGATGATTCTCAGGTTGATGTGCTTCTATTACCACTAAGTAGACTTTTAAAGATGAAATTGATAATCCAATCTCTTTTAAATACAACAGAAATTTAAGGATAGTCTGCAGTGATGCTTGCCTACTACTTTCATTAACTTTATTTGTATCAGAGCATTGCACAATTTAAAATTATGGATACATATGAAATATAGGTAAAAATTAAACAAATTAAAATGTTAGACATTGTTGTCATTTGTAGTCCTAAGAGGCCATTTTGCTCATCAACATGTTCGCAGTCCAACACAGAAGGAGCCACCTTGAACATTGGAAAGTTTTGCAAATACACTTGGGCATCTCCTGGGCAATCGTGTTCAGCCAGCCAATCCTTCAAATCCAGAAGTGTTGCACTTACATCAACTGATAACACATATTCCATGTATCTCTTCTATTTATGGGCATATAATCGTTTAGTGGACAGTTTTCTAGCTTCTTGCAGTATGTGCTTTAATGGTGAGATATCATCTAGGCAGTCATACTGATCTGCTATATATCCAGATGTATTAATTCTTGTAACATGTTATGAGGTTGTGACAAATTGATAATTTTAACCTCTCTCTTGAGAGCAGCAAGTCATGAGCCATAGCTGGTGAGGCCAACATGGAGTTACTAGGATTAGACCTAATTTGTCCTGTTGGATCTTGACTACTGTATGTTAGACCAATGGGAATGGGAGAAACAAACATTAGGTAATCTATCCATGGAATCCGGAATATTTGTTCCCAGAGAATGTTTCCCTTTGGTCACCCACTAGCTATACATTTTGCATGTTATGTTCTTCTAAGAAGTGAACACATCTTTCTTTGGCTTTTTGCACTTTTTGTTAGTTTTGTAAAACTTTGGTGAGTTCCCACTTGTGAGTCAGTGTCAGTATCCTGCTCAAAACATCTGCTTTCCAATTGTCTTCCCCATAACATGAATTCCTATAAAAATGTGCTTTACAACACACCATTCCCATAGGACTGATAAAGAAAGCTCACTGATTTTGTTTTCCCTTTGTCCATTGACATAACGCATAATAAAAAACTAATTGCCAAACACATATGGCTAAAAGGATAAAGCATTTGGATTCTTCTGCAATTGACTTACAGTGGGGTCTTGACTTGAGAACTTAATCCGTATTGGAAGGCGGTTCTCAAGTCAAAAAGCCTGTAAGTCAAGTCTCCATTGACCTACAGTGCATTGAAAACCGATTAATCCCGTAACAGGCCGTTTTTGTTCCATTTTGGTTTTTTTCTGGTCTGTAAGTCAAATCTCAGTCTGCAAGTCAAACCTAAATTTTGCGGCCAGAGAAGTCTGTAACTCAAAAAGTCTGTAAGTCAAGCCGTCTGTAAGTCAAGGGTCCACTGTACATCCGTTTATTATTTATATGAATGAACAGATAATAAGGAACTCCCCGATGCACACAGGATTTATTAGTCTTTATCTTATACTTGGAATATAATTTTCCAAGGAAAGCCTCATAAGAATGTGGATATGATTCTCTTGTGGGATATGGAAAAGGGAGGGTGGTAGGGAAGGCAATAGAGAGAGAGAATACAGATATATATTCCCAGTGTAGTGTAGTGAATAGAGTGACGGACTAGGACTCTGGAGAACACTTGGCCATGGAAGCTCACTGAGGGTGTGGAAATGGTAAAACCACTTCTGAAATATTTCACCTTGAAAGCCCTATTTGGGTTGCTGTAAGTCAGTTCTGACTTGACAACACAGAACACACGCACACTCAGATATTAATTTTTTTTAATTTTTAAAGAAAAATAGATCTATATGCTATTGTGAGTCCACAGATAGAGATCATGAGTGACTATATTCTCTGTATTGTGGTGTCTGTCTGTGCAATATTGACCTCAACCATGATTTCGATCTGCAATCTCTTAGTCAAGGCAGAAGGGGATGACAAGTCTCATGTCGAAGACCATGACTGATCTCAACTTTGAGCCCATCCTGCTTGTTGTCTGATGTTGGAGATGGTGACTAGTGAAGCCCTTGGAGCTGAACACTTTGGAGGACATGGAGGAATGCTCTGCATTGGTGGGCTACGCAATTCCTCATTTGAGATGGAACCAACATTTTGGTTCTCATCCTGATGATCTCCTGTAAATCCCACCTTTCATTGTACCTGCGGTGCCATGGGCTTATTCTTTTTCTTGGCCTTTTTCAGTTTGTATGGTTCAATAGCTGAAGATCTCTTTCTTCTCTTATTATTTGAGTCAGACTTTGATATAAGTTTGTTCAACGCTGAAGGCACTTTCAAAGTCATGGGTTCAATATCATACTTTGCAATGGCTGTTCATTCTTTAGTTGGCAAATCCGTCAACATAGATTCCATTGTCTTTGGGGCCTTGTTGATTTTTTGTCTGTAGTGGTCTTGATGAGAGAATCAGTTGCTTTCAAAGACTTCTCCACTAGTTATGATTGTAAGCACATTTTTTAGAGTTAGTGTAAAACTTTTACAGATCATACAAGATTTTACTAAGTGAGTCAGCAGAATAAGCACTGATCATGGCCATCTGCTTGAGGCAATTTCACTCCATATCTGGAACAAAATTTCATTAAGGCCAAAGAGGCCACAAACTGCCAAAATGCATAGTTAGAATTTTGAAGAAAAAAGGGGAAAGGGACAATGGGAGAGGAAAACTACTAACTACAATGTATTTTCTTTTTAAGATAATGAATAACTAACAAAGGGAAAGATAAATAAAGGTATGTTTTTAAAAGCTATTTACAAAAGGATCAGTTTTGAGCTCTGGAGCAATTGAAGGACTGATGTCACTGCCACAGCAGGCAAAAAAGACTAAGGAGGGTGGGCAGAACGTGCAAGGGAAAAGATATAAGGGTCAAGCTCTGGAAGCTTCCATGACGATTGCTCGTACAGGCACAGAACCCAATTGTGTGAATCATAGAGACCCTGACAAAGAATGAGAAGTTTTACCAACAAAAGTGCCATCTCCTGAAACTCAGGAAAAACCTAACTATAGAAGATTGTTAAGAAAGAGTTCCAAAAGATAGCATGTCCAACATTAACTTATTATTACAGGCACTGTATTCAAGAGATTTCCTGCCCCTGAAGAGGTTTAGCATTAAATGCTTAGTGTCTAGTAACTAGAGAAGAATCCTGTACACAAACACAGTGCTAATTAATATATAGATTTTGATGGCAGAAAATCTGAATGTATAGTGAAGGTTCAAGAAAACCTACCAGTCTGTTGAAGCCCATTTATCTACTGCCTGCAACCCTGTTTTAATATTCTGCAACATCTCTCCATCAACCTCTGAAGACTGAATCAGGCTGAAGACTTGACTGATGATTGAAGATTCTCGGAGAATAAGGCCTATAATAATGCACCAGTCCAGACATCCTGCTTCCATAAAAATATGAAGCAAATACCTAAGGAAAACCAAGTGAGATCTTTAATACAAGAGAAATCCTTGATTAAACCATGGCAATGCTGTGTCCTTTGTTCCCATCTATTAAGAATGTTTCAAGCAGGTATCTTTTCTACTAATCCACTGACCAGAAACTCCAAACTAACTTACCGCAGCTGAACCTGTGATTTGTGTGGCCCTTTGCTGGCCAGCTCCAAAGAGATATGTTCCAACTCAGACTGTGTTAAACTCAGAGTGGAGAAGTTTTCATCCACCATCGTCCAGTCTCCATCCACTATAGAGCTAGTTTCTGTCAAGTCTGTGGCTGAACCAATACTGCATTCATCACCTGTCAAAATACATTCAAGTGAATAAAATGTGGGGGGAAAGTAGTCTGGGTCCTATTGGCACAGCAAACGCAACAGAACAAAGTCCTCTTGGTAGCTGGTTTTTAAACTGTTTTCCAGGTTTCCTTCAATTAGATGAGATCAATTATGGCTGCCAGTTTTCCTTGAAGAGAGCCATAGGAGTGCTGCTTGAGAGAATGTCAAGAGTCACCGTGCAGCAAACCCTGCAGAGCCACAGGTTCTTCAGGGGATAGAGGGGGATAGAGAAGCCTAGGTCACCTATCTAATGATCCAAGTAAGCAGAACACCCTAGTTCCCTAGAATCCGCCCAGGAATCCACCCTCCTGAGAGCAGAAACAGGAGGATGTGAAGTAAGCTGGAAGCACTTGTTTTAAAACCAAGGTCACTAGAGCAGCAGCACTGGACCCTACTCTGCATTCAGTGATAGCTGCAATACTACCCTGCTGATGACCACATGTCCCATGTAGACCCTTCAACTTCAAAGCACTGAATTCAAATGGCTCTTGGTTTTAAGGTTTGTTCTTTTTCTTTTCTTTCTAGTTTTTTGTTTTACATGATAAAAAATAGTCCTCTAGATCTTTCACCCTTTAGGATTGGATTTAAAAAAATAGTAGTAGTAAGACGTGAGAGACAGGCTATTTCCTTCTTAATGGAACATTCTCATAAGTCTGTTTTCTGAACATTTGAAATAGTACACAACATGAGATTAACATTTTTATGTAATTTTCAAGGGATCCATATCTCACGTGCCAGTAGCATGATTCTCATGCTTAAGTTGCTGCCTACAAAGTTTGTATTCTAAATTCATCCTACTATCAATATATTACCTGTACTGTTTTCATCCAGCATTTAATCCTTTTTTTACTTTTCTATGAGTTCTCAAGACAAAAAAGCAGACAGCAACAAAAAGATATACAATGTATTTCTCTCTTTTAGATGTAATATAAAATATAGCTGTGTATTCAGAGGACAACTCGGACAAAAAACAAATACTGGAATGAACACACGCACCTTTATTCAACAAAGGTGAAAGAAATGCCTCCTGCATGTGAGGTCCATGGGATGATGCTGCATCCATCTCTCTTTGGGAGGAACTAAGGGTGCCAAGCCAGCTATGACTTCTTGGCATGTTTGCAGCACTGGTGTCCACATCCATGTTCAAAAAGCTATCAGCAGACTGTGACTTCAAGAGTTGCTCACCTAGCACTAGAAGACAAAGCATATGAAGAACCTACCAATTCAATATCCAGGAAACAACATGTCCCATCCAAACTAAAATCCTAGACAACAGTGAATTAAACCGTATTATTTCTGGAGGCATATCCTTTTGTTTGTTTATTATGTCACCTTTCTCCCAGAACTAGGACCCACTGCAGCTTATAATAGAGTTAAAACAGTAGAAAATTAAATAAAAATTTACATTCATTGTTATTGAAAATACAAACAAAATACTTTAAAATTTCTTAAGTAAAAACTATCATTAGTCTACATTGCCTTTAAAAATAAAAAATCAGCATATCAGCTAAAATACTAAGATTTGATGCTCTTAATGACTAAAGACCTGCCTACGTTAAAAGGTTTTAATCTGCTAACAGAAGGATGGGAGGTGAAAAACCTAGGGTCTTTGACATATGTTACATATATTATAATGTATTCATGCTATGATGTATTTCAATTTTAATACTGAAACCTTCTGCTTCCTTCCTACAGCTTTTCCAACTCTCCACTGCATGGAAGCTGTGCGGGTCATGGGATATAAGGAGAAAAACTTTAATTATTGAAAATTGCCACTGCTGTACATTAGTGGCAGAGGGAGATTTTGGTAATTAAAGACTTCCTCCTTCCATCTAGCAGCTCCCATGGCTTCCATATGACAAACGGAATTCCGTGAGAGTTGGAAAAGCCAAAAAGCACCTTCTGCTGGCAACATCATCACCCCTCCACAGTTGTTAAGTTACACAAAAGGTTTCAGCCAAAAATTGCACTATAAAAGGAAACTGTGACTGTTTTCTATGATGAAACAGATAATTCCTCTTCTTCCCTATATTACATATTTGTGAAACATTAATCACCAATGTATTACGAGTATTATTACAACGTATTATCCCAGTTTACTTACTACATTTAAAGTAGCTGTCTTAATGCTTTAAAAACCCATTTAATGAGTATAAAATTATATATAGGACAGTTTCAAACATCCATCATACCAATTGCATATTTTTAAACTATCTGCACTGCAATTTATATGGAAACTGGTGTCTAAAGGAATCTGGACAGTAATGTCCCCTTCAGTTTAAAAACAATGCAAAGGCAGCAAAAGTGTAGCCAGTTTGGAGATGCAAAGAAATAAAATGTGTGAGTCAGCTGTATATATGTTCCTTCTCCATTTGTGTCAGGCTTATACTATGTTCACTTCTTGGTAATTAAAGCACTGATGATATAGTACCTGTCCTATACTTTCCATTCTTGAGAGGCGAATTAATGGAACAAACTGGATTAATTGGAAATGGCCAAAGGAAGTCATGATGCAGTTTCTTCAAAGCAATGACAAAATCCTCTACACGGGCAGCCCTGGTGCGCTCCTTACACAACCAGCCGATGAGTTCAAAGCCCAGCTGGGCAGCAAAGCAACCTAGGTCCTTCAGTCTAATCTCTTCAAGAAGGCGCCGAGCATGTCGCCAGAGCATCATATCAATGTACATATTCTCTGCACAATCACTATCTTTACTCCACCTATGACAGAAAGCAAAGTGGTTAAAACCAAAGTAATATAAGACCAATCTCTGCTGACTTTCTTCCAAGAAGAGTGTTGAATTTCTGTGAGATTCTGACTGCAAATGTAAGTATGAACTCTGCTGGAAAATATAACTAGGCTCTACTGAAACCTGATCAGGAAGGAACTCTTTTCTCCCCCCTGCAGGTACAGAGAACATGATTCCAGCACCACATAGTGACAAACTATAGAATTAAGTTACCTTTTGCCAGATGGGCCAGATGGCATGCTCAAGGTTTTCTGCAGGTTAAATTTGCCAGCTGGAAGGCTGTCTCCAGACTGAGACAAACTAATGCTGCGATGCCTGAAGAACTCAAAGCCACCACTTGAACTAGGTTCCTACATGAAAGAAAAGTGGCAATAAGTTTATTCAGGACCTGCAGGAGGAAATGGTTGTCTGAAAGCTAGGCAAGCAGATACCATTTTTAAAATAAAGATGAACATTTACTGTTTTAATCAATCCATTTTCTCTAGTCACTTGTTAGATATGGGAGATTACATGAGTGAATCAGTATTCAGATAGTCACTGGAAAAGTTAACAGTCTGGACTACTTTGATAAATGATCTTGAAAACAAACAGGGTATTGTTCGCCCAGTTATTTGCCATGTACACATGTTACGGTTCTATTTAATGCTCATGAACTATAGGAACTGCTACAGAGAAATGTAGTTCAATCCTTTTGCTTTTCAACTCACCCAAAAGCTTTCAGAATAAAATCCTCTTTCAGATAAAAAGAGGCAAGTTAAGACTCTCACAAATTTTCTCTTTTACTTTAAGTCAAAATTCCTGTTTCTACTGTCTAAATAAGACAGAATTAGGGATGATAATTTTTTTTGTCTGACATATGTTTCTAACTATTTTCACTGTCTGGAAGTTGAGTCATGGCAACTGGATTTCTTTCTTGTTAGTATGAAACATGTTGCTACTCATTCTGATATGATTTGACCAAGATGCATTCATTCTGGACTGAGAAGACAGGTGGTTTGAGAGAGGGGTCAGGGAGGCCATACATGTGCATATAGGAAATCCCTCACTGAACAGGAGTGGGGGCCTTAGATACAATCTGTCTCCTATTTGTCATGCTGCCCTTTCATTGGTCCTCAGAAAGATCAGGACCACACACCAGGAAAACCACTGTTAACGGCCCCTGACAATGGGTGGAGGACTTCAGAGGTGGGATTTTCACTCACCTCTCCCCCATCCTTTATCCAGCCAACAAGCCTATTCAGACCAGGGGGAAATAAAACCAACGTGGAGGATATATCATGGATCTAATGCCAAATCTCCTCAGACTGAAGATGAGTAGCAAAATGTTTCAACAAAACAAGAAATAAGTCCAGTTGCATGACTCAACTTCCAGATAACCTCACCTGGATGACTGAGAATCTTCACAGATATTGTCACTGTCATTTCCTAAATTAATACAGGGAATCGAATGTGGTACCCTTCAAGGTATTCTTGTTAATTCTGCAATGTAGTTTTGAGTTCTAAAATATGTACACAAAATGTATCTTAAGGGGAAGTCTGTACTGTGCATTTTTAAAGCAGAAAAAAAGATGTTAACAGCGTTATCTCTCAGCATGAGCAAAACAGACAGTCCATAACAAATTCATCTGTCCCATCCTAGTTACACAGTAATTCTACAGTCTCACATACAGTGCTCACTTACAGCTTATTTATAGTTTTAGACACTGCCTTTCAGCTAGAATCCCACTGCAAAATGCTAACATACATAAAGGAAATCTGCAAGTGGCTTTCAGTATTTTTTGGTCATCTGTCACTCGCTTAGGGGCTCAACCAAGTTCATAATTTGGATATCTCCCAGCACATGATAACATGTATTCATTGTAATAAAAGGATTGATACAAACCTGGAGGAGAGCATTGATGTAAATATCTATTACTGTGAAACAGCATAAGGCAGCAAGGACGAGGAGCTGCTGTGCAAGTTCAACATACAAGTGGGCTCAAAAAATGCTGGTTCTCTTTAAGGTGAATTAAACATTTAGAATCCAGACGTAGAGCCGGACAATTGTGACTGTAACCAAACTCCTGCAACACTGAAACTAAGCTCTGAAATATGTTGTTTGTCAGTGTTAGCAGTAAAGCATTTGGACTCTTAAATGTGGAGACATAACTAAATGCAGCATCAACCAGAAGGAAAGAGGCTAAGACAACATTTAGGAGCATCAGGTGCAAACTACCTCTGAGCAAAATATGAGACTATACAACTGTAAGCAGTGAAGAGTTTTCTACAAATTTATTACTTTATTTTTTTACTTTCATGTACCTTGCCAGTTCTGAGGTAACCAACTCATACCATTTATTCTCCTTAATGAATAGGCAATATTCTGTTCTAAGCACATTTTTAATTGCAACTATACATAAAATTAGTTCTTTATCATGACAGATCAATTTAGCTCTTTACAAACCTGAGTAGTAGGTGTAGGAGGAGGTGTATCCGATTCTCCAGAGCCAATGGCTTTGAGAAACCTGATCATGTGCCGACAAAGATCCCACTTTCCCTGCTCTAAAGCAGTATTGAACAACAAAGTTGCATGCTGCCTGCTAACTGCTGGAACTTCCATGTTCTAGAATCAAGATAGAATACTTTTAGAGCGAAGCTACTGATATATTACAGTTCAGTGGTTCCAAGCCTTGGGTAACCCTGGTGCTCTTGGACTGCAATTCCCATAAGCTTTCACCACAGCTGAGTGCACTGGTGCTTCTGGGAGTTGCAGTCCAAGAACACCTGGGTTACCCATGGTTGGGAAACAGTTATAGTTGACATATTACTTGAACATAGCAGGAGAAAATACACAACTCACTGAAAGAAGCCTCAAAAATCTCAAACTGCAGATATTAAATGCACTTCTGATTGCATGATTTTCTCTTCTCAGTGTAGGAGCCTAATGACCACACATCCATTTACACACTCCATGGATAACTGAATTGCCAATGGTAACACACAAGGCCACCAATGCCCTGGTGAACTAACTGGGACGGCATGGAGGCACCTACTGTATGAACTATTGCACTTACACAGGGATTCCCTGTGGAGATTACATGAGAGCTACTCATGAATCAGGAGAAGGATAGTGAAGAAATATAAGTGGTAAATGATGAAAGGACAGGAGATTAAAGCAATTCTGGGCAAAAAGAAAGGGAAAGAAATGAGCAGAAAAATGAATTAATAGCATCAAGCCCACACAGACAGATGTCCAGATCACACAATCCCTGTTTTTACAGGATGCCATCTCAATCCAAATCAAGGAAGATACTGATATAATAAAGTTTCCTAGCTTTCAAAAATCTTGAGCACAATCTTTCTCTAACAATACTTTCTGTCCTTTTTTGTATAACATATTTATTAGATTGAGCCCCCTTTCGAACAGAATAATTGAACACAATTACCTGCAGAATGATAAGGTAAGAAGCGGCCGTATCTAAATCCTGGGCCATTAAACACTCTTCAAACAAGTCTTTTGGGTTTCCAACAGCAGCAAAGAGATAATTCCACAAGGCATATTCTGTCTTCCTAGCACAATGAACAACTGTCTGGAGGAAGAGGGGGAATTCTGTAATGAATTTAGCCACAGTGGGAAGTAGAGGGTCGGGAATGGGATCCCGCGAGGTAGCTTCTTCTTCCAGTACTTCATGAAGCATCAGTTCTAGCACATGAGGAAAATATGGTAATGTGGCACAGGAGTGAGCCAAAAGCAAGGCTTGTTCGCCCAGATTCCTCACCAAAAGCTGACGTAAAATGTGATGGAGGTAGATCTGAGATGTTCTCTCAACAATACAGAAAGGGAAAAGGACCTCTAAGTGTTCTACAGCACTGCTGTGAGTATATAAACAGTCATAGGGCACAGTGTCATTGACAGCACCAAGAACCAAGGCATCTTCAAACAGAACAGCCAAGGGGTATATGTTAATGTGGAACGGCAGCATGATCCGTCTTGACAGAAAGGAATGTGGCTTGCGGTGGTCCCTGGGAAACAAAGGAAGCCAGACTTTCATACCTGATCCACCACAGCTGAGCCAAAGAGCCTCCAATAAATGCCGTTTCTGTTTATTAGAACGGCATGTGGTCCAAACATTTTCAACTGATTGGGCAAGTACAACTGGAGTACAAAATGGCAACTAAAAGAAAAAAATACAAACATCATTAACCTTGATCAACATGTCTTCCTTTCTCCTCTATACATACAGCCAAATGTTGGATTATGAAATTTATCCAGTTTTCCAAGAACCCCCATTAACATTCTTCAAGTCTATTATCCCTTTTTTATTTTTCCATACAACTGTTTTACAATTTTTTTTAAAAAAATCACAGTTCATTCTCTATTATTCTTAACACCACTATGATACATTAGTTACATAAGGAGAGGGATGAAAAATATTAGAGGTGGTAAAGATCTCCAAAGTTGACATCAACAAGTATCTGGTATGAATTGTAAAGGCCCATTTCTTATTTCCATTTACAAAGAAACTGCCAGGGTTCACAGCGTTAGTTGTTTCTTTGTCACAAAGGTATTTGTTATTGAATCACTTTGTACATTAATTGGTTACTTTTAGGTAATTCATTTAAGGGATTTTAACTGCCTGCAACACACTATCTAAAACACACTATCTAAAACCAGTAATTTTTATACATGGTAATGGGAGCCTCAGCCTAAAGCAACTACAAAATATTGGCTTGTTAGTAATTCAATAATTCATCAAGAAGGATTTCCACTGACTTTCACTACAAGATGCACACAATATTATAACGATTACTTATTCATTACACATTATTTCTGCCATCTTAACATATACTGTTATATTCTCATATTAACTTACAAGTTTCCTTTGGTTTGGAGTACTCTCCTTTTCTCGTATTTGCGGGCCAGATCGATCCCTTTGTAACATAATTAACTGTCCTGCTAAGTTTAACATAATGCTTTCTGCTTCACAGGCCTGACAGAAGAAAAAGCCATATTAAGTTTTTCATGATCAGCAAAGTATACCATGTTCAGAACGAAGTGCAAATGCATCAAGACCACGGCAATTCTTATATAAAAGCATTTCAGAGAACACTTGTTCACTCATGTTTGTCCAGATCACCACCACCAAGAGACATGAACTGAAGTCCTCACTGCCTCATCAACATGTGATGAAAATGAGAAACAGAGTTGCATGTCATCAGAGAGCTAGCTGATGAGACTGAGGTCGACAACCTCTTGAACATCATGGAAGACAAAAATTACACATCACAGAATGTGTACATATGTACATGTGTATGTGTTTCTAATGTGTTTGCTAGAACCAGATAGGTGCATTTGCATAACATACAATTCTAACCAATCAGAATGTGTCACAAGATATATACCTCAGAGAGGAATAAAGATGTAACTGACTAGAATATGTAATAGAGCCAGTTAGGGCTTACTAATGTAAATGTACAATGATAAGAAAGTTAGTTATTAACCAGAGAAAATATGTCTGTCATATCGAATGTCTAAGCACTATATAAGTTATATTTTATAGATGTTTCTAAATAGGAAATGTTATTTTATGTTTTAATCAAGGCACAAGTGATTATTTTAATATCAATTGCTGGCACAAACACAAACATGGGAGAACATAGAATTTTACTATATACAACAGTGGTTTTTAATCTAAAAGTTTTCAGCTGCTATATGCAAATTCTGCTCAGTTATAGGCTATAATTTATTATAATCAAAAGTCAACATAAATAATTTTCAAGGAACCTCACAAGATAATCTTTGAAAATGACATTGTAGATCCCCAAGAAGGAAAAGGAACCCTAAAACAATGCTCTTCCATCTCCCATCTCTGAAAGCTAGGACTAAAACAACTGAAATGGAACCAGAAAAATCAGTGATACAGGAAAGACATCCAAAACTGCCTGGAACTTACCAACCATTTACTTCTCTAGCAGAAGAAAGGCAGACTAGAAAGGAGTTTCTGAAAGTTTGCATGCTTGTGCATGACTGTTTTTCTGGCAAAAAGGGTACCAAAACAAGCCCCCTAGAATATGTCCCTGCATCAAAAATGCATTAAACAACTTACTGACTTGGCTTATCAGGACATTGAAGACATTCAGCACAGAAGGAAATATCACGCTAGTGAATTTATACATTTCCACATGTGATTAAAAAACCCCACCAAATTTGCCCAGCTAGCAGTTTTTAGTCTGTACACCTACTTTTCATTTCCATCTTGCATAAACGGCTTCTCTGACTTCCAGGACATCCATAAGCAATTAGGGGTTGTTAATCAGTTCTCTGAAGGTATAAAACCACTATGTCTTCTGTACATACCTGTGGTGGCATTTTCAAGCTAATTCCTGTCTCTGTTCTTACAGAGGTCAAAGTAACAGACACAACAAGGAAAGGATGAGGAATGTAACGTGACATTGAAACCTCCTGAAGAACCTGAATACTGGCAGTTGGGTTGGGACTAAAAGGCAAAGACAAAAAAAATTAGTAAACCGTTAGGAACACAGCCACAATGGTCATCTGTTAAACATAAGAGGTCCTCTATAAACTTAATTCACCATCTAATCTTCAAACAAGATTATAAGTAATAAAATGTTCTTCTGCATACCACCACCACTACCAATGCTGTAAGCATTTTAGGCAATTATTTCCTGACAGAGAAAAGAACTGAACAGTAGGTTTAAATGTAATCAATAGTGAATATCTTATTTTGACATTTCTGTATGAACACAAGGAAATAGGTAAAGGTAAAGGTTCCCCTTGACAATTTTTGTCCAGTCGTGTTCGACTCTAGGGGGCGGTGCTCATCCCCGTTTCCAAGCCATAGAGCCAGCGTTTTGTCTGAAGACAATCTTCCGTGGTCACATGGCCAGTGTGACTTAGACACAGAACGCTGTTACCTTCCCACCGAGGTGGTCCCTATTTATCTACTCGCATTTGCATGCTTTCGAACGGCTAGGTTGGAAGGAGCTGGGACAAGCGAAGGAAATAAATAAATACAAAGCCCTATCTGGAAGGTCCGAGTCCTTGAGACCCCTCAGTTAAGAAACTACACACCTATATGTGGGACATAATGATAGAAACTGTAGCGTACAGACACCAAGTACAGTCATCTCCAAGTGTGATTATTTGCTGGTGGAATAAACACTGCTGTTTTAACATGTTTTCCAGCCTCAGCTGCCATCACATGCCTCTCAAAATGCTACCCAGGGCTGGGAAAACTCTAGAATCAGATCAGAGAGCATGGGGATGCAGGAGAGAGGAGAAGAAACAGAGTTCACACTGGACACCTGCTTGAATATTACTGGCTGTCACCCATGGCATCCAAATAATCTTATAAAAATTGTCTGTTCTCCACAGATTGTTGCAGAAAAGGTGCCACATTTTAAACTCACTCTTCCCAGTGAAATATAGACACAAATTGCAACTTGAAAAGAAGAAAGGTTATAAAGTAACAGGCTCATACTATACTCACCCATCAGATTTTCTTTTAATACTATAAAGGCAAATAGAACAGTCTGCTCTGAACAAAATAACGATGTCCCGAAAGACACTGAGTAACAATGTTTCTGCCTGTACTTTGGTGATATGGGCAAATGCATTGTCTAGATTTGCTGTTCTCAAATAGACCCTTAACTGGAAAGAAGATCAAATATAGAAACAATATTAGTAACTGAATATAACTGACCATAAATCTGTAATAAAAACAGATGAATAAAAATAAATCAAATCAAAAGAAATTTGCTAAACAACCTAATCTAGAGTCTTGTCAGTAGTGCCTGGGGTCTTCCCAAACTCTACATGCCCAAGCAACTATAATCTGGAATTTTCGTCACTATTCCATTTTTCATCTACTGAAGACTTTAACAGAAATTTATGTTTCTCTTCCCTACTCCAGCTTTTAATATTTTACCTCTTTTACTTCATGGGCTGGATAAATTAAACTCTGCTTTCCATAATTTTCTGCACAGAGTTTTTTGAGAAATTGACCGGGTCCCTTCCTATGTGTGTGTGTGTTCTGAAACTTTTAATGGCATTTACAAGTTACAACAACACAAGCAACTCAGGCAAAATAGGAAAAGTAAAATTGCACAAATTTCATAAATTAGAACCGAGAAGCAGGGGACGATTTCAGAATTGCAGTTAAGAAACCTGCAACAGCAGCAGTCAGGGCATTACATTCATCGGTCATGAAAATGGAAAGAGTTGACTCAAAAGAATTCGAAAAATAAGAGATCCAAGGTTCGAGGAAAAAATTTCGGAGGTGGTGATGAGCAGGGCATTGAAACAGTATATGAGCCAGGGTGTCAGGCGTCTCTAAGCAAAAGAAACAAAGTCTTTTTTCACGAGGGATGTTGAGAAATCAACCGGCATGGGTGGCCGAAGGAAAAATGTTAAAACGGGCTAACATAAAAGCTCTTCTTAGACTCATCTTTGTTTGCAACTGTCTTTTACTAAGTACACATTGGCTAAAATCTTGTTGCTTACTGTGGTTAAGTCACAACTAGAATAGATCCACTGAACCAGTGGGGATCAGGAAAGTTAACACCTATGGAAGTTCCACAGATTCAGGGCTTACTCTAGTTGCAACTTAATGCTGGATTTCAGCCATCAAGTTTTTTAATCTTCCTCATTCTACACTCTGTTAAAACCTAGTGTACAAATGTTTTAAGAACTTCTTTATACCTCCAGTTAATACATTTTTAATAGCATAACATAATGGAATCCTTAGACTATCTCTGGGGATACAAATCAATTTCTGGATGGGGCATCAATATAGTCTTCTCAACTGTGCACAAACAATCTGAAGCTTGTTCTCTGTGGATTTGGGCACAAGCCTGTGGCACACACAGTAGCTTCCTGTCAATTTCCCACTCTGTAGGTTGCCATTATTTACCTGCAACAGTTGTTTCTAGAGCAGCGGTCCCCAACCTTTTTAGCCCCGCAGACCGGCTGGGGAAGGCGCCCCCCCGTGCTCATGCAAAGGGTGGCAGCGCTTGTGCGGGCGTGCACGCACTCGTGCACATGTGCAAATGGTGGCACAGTGTTCATGCAGGCATGCACTCATTTGTGCGCAGGCGCAAACAGGCTGTGCAGTGGGGAGTGCATGCGGGGATGGCAGGTCTCTCTCCACAGTCCGGTCTGACTCAGGACCAGGGGTTGGGGACCTCTGTTCTTGCGCAGGTGCAAACAGGCTGTGCGGTGGGGAGGGCATGCGGGGATGGCAGGTCTCTCTCCACGGTCCGGTCTGACTCCAGGACCAGGGGTTGGGGACCTCTGTTCTAGGAAGTAAAGTGTTCACAGAACTCTCCACGTATCATTCTACTTCTATGGTCAATGGACATTTGAAGGGAGAAACTATTCCCTCAATCTCATAGGTCACTGACTGATAATGGAGAAGACTTTTTAACATTGCATGTTAGGAGCTCCTGCCATGTGGTCAGCCTGATTGACCAACAATATAGAGAACCCTCTAGTCATGAGTAAGGATTTCAGAAGGCAAACTACAACAAATTTTAATCCATATATGCTAGTGACAGAATAACATTTTTTTCTTTGAAAAAAGGGATCCTAGACATTATGAGCATGGTATTATCCATATTCTTCAACAATTTCTTCAGAACAAAAGAGAAAGTCCACAGCCATTTAAACTGCTTGCAGACGTTTTGGTTAGATTTCTTAAGTCTTCCTGAAAATATCAGACAGGGCCCATTATTTGTATAATCAGATGTGATTAATTAAAGTGTTAAATTCTTCCATTCAATAAGATATGGGAGTATGTAAGACAATGGAGAAAGGCTTGCTTGAATCATATTATACAAACCAGCTGTCATACAGCCTTCCAGTGCATACAGTCTAGTCAAAATTAGCTTCCTTGTACACGTGCTATGTGACCATTCACAAAGCTGTACAGAAATATGAAATGGGTGATTGATAAATAACAATCTCAAGTTAACAGAAAGTGTTTCTGTGGAAGTGTCAGAATATATATTTTTTAAAATTTTTCTTAAATTAAAGGGCATAAGGGATTGCTCCTAGCATACTTTTCTAATGACAATGAAAAAGAACTGCTCAGCTTACCTCTTCTTGACGGTCACTTAAGTTATAACAAGCAATGACTATGAAATCATTCCACCATGCTAAGCCACCTGTCACAGTCATATTTTGTTCCTAGAAGGAAAAAAGGGGGGCAAGGTTAAATCTGTTTCTGAATAAATCCAGTAGCTTGTGCATAAACATTAAACAGAGTATGTAATACTTGGAAATGTATTTCTAAACTATTGGTAATTACAGTATTCTGTTTACCACCTGGAAAGCTGTAACACAAAGCTGTGCAATATGTAGAATATTAGGGAGATAATCATTAGGAGACTCACTTTCCTGTTTCTTTCACAATTCAACTTCATGCAGATGTTTATACCATAACAAAACAAGGAAATAAAGTGGAGAGTTCTCATCTCAGTCTAACAGAGTTTATATACTATTGGCTCTTTCACTGAGCCAATAGTATATAAACCCTGTCCCTTTTTACTGTGGATGTCACCCACCACATCTACAGTAAATAGGGAGCGTGATGTTGCCCAGCTGAAAGCTCAACTGGATGCTTCTCTATGCTTATGAAGCAAGACTGACTGAGTATTTCATTTTTTAAAACACTAAATGAGGCAGGTTAAGGAGGAGAGAAAAAGTACACTCCCCGAGGGAAGAGCTTAAAACAGCAATGTGTCGCAGTGAAGTGGGAGAGGGGGACACCGCTTTCCCTGCATTCTCTGTTTAACATTTAAAATTTACCCAACCACCCCCACCAGTTTATGGCCAAAGGGACAACTGTGTCCAGAATAAACATGTCTTCTACTGGTTTTGTTCTTGTTTAAAATATAAAACTGCAAATCCAACTTCTGACAGCCATATCCCTGTTCTCCTTCTGTCCTAAGATAACACATACCAAGACATAAGCTTCTGACACCAAGCTCAGGATTGGACCTTTTAACTTGTAAGTGCTGAATTGTGTTTTAGTATTACAGTTTTGTTTTAATACTGTTAATTTTGTTTTAATGTTTTAATTTATTGAGGGTATTTTTGTATCTTTTTAAAAATCTCAGTGTGAGCAGTTAAGTGAGAATTGTGTAATATAAATCAAATAAATTAATGAAATCCTTGCAGCTAGCCCCAAACATCTGAAAGCAACTAATATCTTTTGTCATTTTTGCACAATTTTAAGCACCCCAAACTTGAACAAACCCAATTACATACAAGAGACTGCAATTATCTTCAGTATAAACATTATCTTCAATATACACATCAGTAAAAATATTATTCAAATGTTACTCTATTTCTTCTCTTACAAAGTAGAAGTACTCACCTGCGTTATGTTTCCAAACAGTTTCCATTTTTTAGAAAGCAAAGAGTAATGCGCAAAACCAAACTTGCCAACCACAGCTACATTCTGCCCCATTTTATCAATGGCCGAGTACTGCTCATGAGAGGGGGAAAAAACAAGTGCAATGTGTCAGAATGCCTGACAAGAATGACACATCTGTATAGTTTCTACTATGCTTAATTAATACAAATTATATTTCCAAAAGCTGAGGCTTCCTAATTTATTCCAGTCTGAGCCCCGAATGTAAAATTTAATGTTTACATTTAAATACAGTGGTACCTTGACTTACGAACGTCCTTACTTGTGAACGATTTGAGTTATGAACAGCTCCGTTTGCAAAAAGTTGCTTCGACCTGCAAACGGAGCCTCGACTTACTAACCAAAAAAGAAAAAGAAAAGAAAACTTCCCTGCCCTTTTTTGACATAAGTTCACTTTAGGTCAAAAGAAGAAGAAAAAAAAATCTCCCCCTAGTGGTAGAGTACGGATTAACTAGCTTTGCATTAGTTCCTATGGGAACTAATGCCCCTACCTACGAACAGCACCTCGACATACGAACGAAAAACAGCAGATACGGATTAAATAGTTTTCAATGCATTCCTATGAAAAGGTTTGCCTCGACTTACGAACTTTTTGATGTACGAACGCCATTCCAATACAGATTAAGTTTGTAAATCGAGGTACCACTGTATAGCCCGAAGTTGGAAAAAACAAAAAGCAACTCACCCTTATAGGCCAATTGATCTCCAAATAGATGCTGTGTATCTATAAAAATAAGAAGGCATTCAATTATTAAAAATTACATGATTTCAAATGTAAGCTTCCATTTCCAACAGTGTTACATAGACATCAACAGGAATCCTCTCGTAAGAGACTTGCTTCATTACTACTTAATTATTACCTCCTATTTCTGACTTACTGAAGTCTGTAATGCAGGTACAGTGGAGTTTTTTTAAGCCCAGATTTTTACCTTTGAAAGTTTGTTAAAATGGTTTGTCTGAGAAGCATGTAGTTAAACCCTTGGTCCACTTGTTAACTGCTGTGGCACCTTGTGTAATTCCCTTTCCAAGGAGGGTGAGCTATTTCTTGCATGACATTCAAAAGGCCCTTCCTCTCAACAGAAAAGGAGGATTCAACACTCGTATAAGTCAGTGCATTTATTTAGTAGTTAAGATAGATGCCCAACAGAGTTTAATGATGTTAGCCAATCTGATTTGGAATTAAGTATCACTGCTCTATGTGATTCATGAAATTCCATTTTTACGTAGTTGAAACACTTCATGTCTTTGTATCTGAATGGGGAGAGACTCATGGCTTTGAACGGGCAATTGGCTCCTATGACACACTTGCAACAATGGCAATAGTTTACACAGTTATAAACAAAAAATATAGACCACAAAATCTTTAACAAAATACGATTTACAAGAAAATTCTTCTTCTTAAATTGACAGAGGAGCTCGTTTTCAACTAGGAGGTTGCTACACAGTCTAAAGGTTCTAAAGTATGGTATTTCTTGATTCCTAGGAAATACCAGGTATTGCTGGACAGAGGATTAAATTATGATATGGGGGGACCAAAGTTCAAAGCTTCAGCTCAGCTAAGAAGTGGGTCTTGAGAAATAGGTTTTGTCTGGCTCTCCTTTTAGAATCTCTCCTTTGGGATGAGATTAAAGAAATATTCAATTGTTAAAAGGAAATAGTACCTGTATAACATGCCAATGTCTGTGCCCTAATAAAGTGCTTAAACCCTGAGAATCTAAGCTTCCATCTGAGTACTGGCTTCTGACAGTCTTATGTTCAGAGTGTGCTGATAAACTTCTAGGATTCTGCGCTTGGATGGCATCTCCACAGTTCAAGTACAAGCGATCTTCTCCCTGAAGGAGAACCTGCTCCTGGTTGCTCTGGAAACAAATCATCAGATAAATTTAGCAAACTGTAAAAATTATAAATACAGTTTCAATTAAAATGGAGGAAACCAAATTCAAATATTGAAGTAGTATGTTTCAATTCTGACCCTTAAGATGGTGACCTTGCACAGCGGTGTTTTTATTTACTTTTTAAAATTATTTTTGCCAAACATACACTGAAAATGCATTAACACCAAGATTCAACTATAATATATTAAACATGAAGATTCAGGAATACTTACTATGCAAGGATTAACTGCGAGTGCACTCTTGATGAACTGAAACTGCAAAATCCCAGCATGTTGGGATTTATTTTCACACTTTCTTTTTGTCACTGAATTAGCAGAGCTATTTCCATCAATCACCCACAAATGATAACCTTCTGATCCCCAACTCTAGGAAAAACAATTGAAACTGTTTTTTATCAATAAGGTATAGGAAAAGATTACAGGAGAAACATTTTGTAGCAAATGTTAATAAATACATGTGTAAATTAGAACATTATCAGAAATGTGCTGTCTGAATGTGCAAATGGCAGGATGCATCCACAAACTGGATGCCTCCAAGAATTTACCTTTGGCTGAAATGTTCTAGTCACTATAGATTGCTATCTGGCAGCCTAAGTATTCATACTACATATTTGGAACTACAGATTGATAACAATAAGAGTAACAATAAATACATTAACACTATTTTGCAGTTTCTCTGCTGACCCATTATTCTACTCCCAACAATCATATAACCGTATCTTCTTCTTTTTTAGCTAGAGGAATCATTTTCAAGGCAGTGCCAAGCTGGCCATTTACCAGGATTTCTTCCCAGCACACAAATACACTTAACATGCCATTCTCTGATGAAATTAAGTACTAAAAATTTATCTGAAAATTGAAATGTACTATAAACAACAGAACTGTTAAAACGGAAATTACTTAAATAAAAAAATTAGATGCTCTCTCTCTCTCTCTCTCTGGGGGGGGAGGGAGGGAAGGAAGGAGACTCGAGAGTACTTACCATAGAGTTGATCTTTAAAGGGTCTTTTTTGGTACCATTTGATTGATAACTAAAATAAAAACAAGACACAACACATCAGATGCTCAGTATTAAGAAGGGCTGGATCCAACCCTGGAATCTGCTGGACAAATTGTGGAACTCAGCAAAACTAAGAGGGTGACAATTTCCCCCCCCCACCTGCTGTTATTGCTTGTGTGCCCCCACAGCCATTCTGTAGAGCTACAAATATTTCTAGAGTGATTTTGAGGTGATGCTTAGAAATGAAGGACTAATAAAAGGAGAGGAGAAAAACTCCATCATAAACAGAACAACTGTTTGTTGGGGAAGGCCTGATACCTCTACAACTGAAATGGATGCTAATGACAAGGAAACATTTTACCCTCTATTTCCAAATCTTTCCTTTAGACCAAGATATAAACAGGAGGCAAAGGTCTGCCTTTGAAAAAAAAAGTACTTCTTAATCTCTTTTCAGGATATGCAGCTAAGCATGCAACTGTACCCCTTGCCCTAAGAACACAACTCTGGTGAGCTTTTGCAACAAGAAATTTCTTTGGATCAATCAGGATTTTAGAAGGATGATTATTATATGCAGAACATTATTTTCCCAAATGCAATCAAAGTATTGGTTGTGTGGGCACAACAAAGCATCCCTGTAACTACTGATACAGCTCTCTTCTAAACCAAGAAAATAGAAGCAGCAAGTAAAAGCCCAAGAGATCTACATTTTTGAAACATAAATGGGATATTATCCCTTTCAGAAGCCTGACACAGTCAAGAGACAGATAGGGATACTTTTAAAAATGTGCATGAGTTTTTTTAAAGGAACAAATACATCTTAACATAGTATAATGAGCATTTTTCTAGTAAAGTAAAAAAAAGGGTGTTTTTTGTTAAACTCTGAATAACATATGAGCCTGCAGAAACCATTCCAACAGTTACAAAATATTCCAAGCATACAAAAACAGAGTGCTGTCCTCTGAAGATGCCGGCCACAGAGACTGGTGAAATGTTAGGAAGAACAACCTTCAGAACACGGCCAAAGAGCCCGAAAAACCCACAACAACCATACACAAACAGTTGAAGAAGAGATGTGCCATTCTGTTAAAGTTCTTAGTCACAGCATTTGCTAAGAAATACTTACGCAAAGTCTCCTCCCAGGGTACAGATAAGCTGGGCACCAAATACGCTCCATAAGGAAAGACCACCATATTCCCAGGTCACCATCACAACACAATTATCAGGAGACCATCTGATTAGTTTAACAGCTCCTGTTTTGTTCCAAATATCTGTTGAATAGCCAAGATTTAAAAAAAAAAATCAGTAACAACACACAAACTTTAGGTAAGCAGATCAAACAATCACACCTAATTCTTTAATGATTTTAAAGATGGGCATTATTCTTGTTTGATTGTTAATACTCAAAAGCACAATTGCCATCCATTGCAGAGGCAGTTAAGATACGGAATCCTATCAGCTCAGCAGAAGCTGATCCCCTTCTTCCGTGTAGGGATGGCTGCATATAGGCAGTGCGAGGAGTCATCAGGCCAATTTGGAGATGCAGGTCTCTCAAATCGCTGTAGTGTCACCCCCTCCTGCCTAACTATTAGCTATTCATTCTCCACAACATTAATTAGCTTCACTGAGCCTTAGGGCTAGGGAGATACACAGGGTCAGCAAACAGGCCGCCCTGATTCCTGCCAAAAGGCCTCCAGGCTGCCTGTGCATGCCCATTCCTTAACTCAGGGATGACAGAAGACAGCCAATGAAAAATCTCAGTGCTTTAGACCAGCATCAGTATTAGACTGAATTGTGTACGGCGTATTCAGTTTCAAATATCAATTTTTTGGTTAGTATAACTTAAAAATGCTGGAATGCAGCAGTAAATGTACAACTAATCTGCAAGGATTCAAGTTTTGTAAAATATTTTCTGTTTCAATTACTCCTTATAAATCAAGACGTTAACAATTTGCAAGAAGTATCAGGGAGGCAGATGCTGAGCAAGAGCAGAAGAATGTTACCAAAAGAACAAAGGGAGAAAAGAGACCTCCAAATAATGCTTTGGGCCTTGTTTCATGTTTCACAATCCTTCCCAACGAGAAATTGCTTTTGAAAGGGAGATTTTTTAAAAAGCATTTGTAATGGTGCATGAGGGGCTGCTCTTCAAAAGATAGAAGAAATCTTATTACAAGATACCAGCAGGCTCTTGGCTCAGTTCAAGTACGGTTTTGGATCTATGCCACAATTCCTTTCAGGTTAGTAAGTGATCTTGGAACAGCATGAGCAGAGTTTATAGCTCCCCCCCACCCCCAAGCAGCTTTGATTTATGTGATCAGTCTTTAGTTACCATGCTGCCGTAGAGAGCATAATGAGATTGGCCACTTCATATTATATGCTTGATCTAAAACCAATTATGTTAGGCACAGTTTTCTCTTCCAACAATTAGCCACTCCATGTACATTTTTAAAAAGAAATAAACTCATTATTTATTTATTTATTCATTCATTTAACTTATAGGCCACCCACTCTACCCTAAGGTCTCTGGGCGGTTTACGACAATTAAAATATAATAAAAAGATAAAACAATTAAAATACAATTAAAATAGATACTCTAAATTTGCCATCAGGACATTATTCATGTTGTATAAACAGTCAAAAGGAAATGATCTGAGCATGTTGAACAACTAGGTTTTTTTTTCAGTCAGAGTTTTTAAATAGTTCTATCATTTGCAATGTTCCACTGTACTGATTTTGAGTAGCAATGAATTTGTGCACGTAGCTAAGGAAGCAAAGAAAATGTACATATATTCTACAATCAAATAACTTCACAATAATCTCCTGGTAATTTTTGAATTTACTAAGTAAAATAAAGATATTAGCTGAAAACCAGTTGGCACAAATTTATACTGAGAAAGCTAGATCACTGGTTCTTAACCTTGGGTTACTCAAGAGTTTTGGACTGCAACTCCCAGAAGCCTTCACCACCAACTGTGCTGGCTGGGGTTTCTGGGAGCTGCAGTTCAAAAACATCCGAGTAACAAAGGTTAAGAACCACTGAGCTAGATGATGTCATCATCTGAAGATATCTTTAATTTAATTTTAAAAGCCCCATTTCCCTTTCAGGTAAATTAACACCAATGGGATTTCGGCCACTGGAAGGAACTCATGCAATTGCAACATGTAATCACAACAAATACTGTTGTTCTACTTGGTTGCTAGATGGCTTTATGCTTTTTTAGCAAGGAGAGGAAGAACCAGTCAAAACCTTTGCAGGGGTGGTGGTGGATCAAATGTTTTCAGTGGTTCATTTGGAAAGGAGCAAAATGCCCAACTGACTGAAGAACAAGAAGAGCGAGAGGCCCACCTTTTCATGTCAATCAAACCCTTTACATAAAAAGCCACCAAAAAAAAAGAATTAAAAACAAATGGCACTACATAGCATTTGATGACAAATCTCTGCCTATGAGCCTCACTTAGTACCAACGCTACTGTTTATGTGCCAAACCAAAAAATATTAATTCTGACAAATACTTTAATATATTTCGTGGACTTAAATGGGCACCTGTTCATTTGTTATGAAGCTTTTTTCCCCCTTTTATGTTTTCTTTTTGGTTTTTTTATGTCTTCTATGCTTTAGGATAAAGCATAGTATGATAATGTTTTCAAGAATATGACTTAGTTTTTCCTTTTTAGATAGTTTAGCATATTTTAAAGTCCTGCTGTTTTTTACGAGTAAACCTTGTATTAGAAAGGGAGGTCTATTTAAAATGTGGAGGACAAGAGTGGTGTAGTGGACAGAGTAACAGTCTAGGAAACATGGGTTCAGATCCTTGGTTGGCCACGGAAATTCACTGGGAGATGGCACTAGTAATACTAGTCTTCAAATACTGTAGCTCAGACCTTACAATACTACTAGGATCCCCGTAAGACAGCATATGATACAAATTTAAAATGTATCTATTTTCTAATTTGAGACATTTTTTAGAAAGGGGGGGAGAGGGGAAAAAGACAAGACCACAGCGACCATACACAAAAGGATTTGTTCCATGTACAGCAGGTTCTCAGGACTTACCAGGATATTGTTTGGGTGTTAGCTCCAGTTTGTGAGAGAGCTGCATGGCTCCTGTAGAACTATCAATTGTATAAACTTGCACCGAGCCACTGAAAAGATCAGAGAGTTTAATAATGTTTAGAAATCGGTACTTCCTGAGTCAAAACAAGCAAGTAAACACCTAAAAATCAAATCTTTCTAATTAATAATACTGTTAGTTTGGCAGTCTTTGATGAGGAAAGTAAAAAATAGTTTGCCAGTTTCAACTCATTCAATAGGTATTTTGCGTACCGTTTTGCTGTTTTCGTTCCCTTCTGTATGATCAGTTTTTCTATGTTATCAGGAGAAATTCAAGGAAGTTTGTATGGCCCTAATTTCCATCCTTATATTGTTTTCTTTGGAGATACTGCATGACATTGTTGTCATACATGTTAAATATTACAATTATTTTCAAACACAACAGAATTCGGACTGCTACATTCTCAAAAAACAAACAAAACATTAACAAGATATATTTCATCTGTAGGCCATCTTCTCCAAATGGGTGCTCTCTGGATGTTTTAGACATCAATTGCTATGAGCCCTGACCATTGATCAAGTTAGGTGCGGCTCATGCAAGTGGGAGCACAAACCATCTGGGAGCACCAAGTCAGGAAAATTGGTGTTAAGAATGAAACTTCTATACCTCATAGCTGAGTACTAACCAAATACCTTGATGTTCAAGAGGCAGCATCTCAGCTTTCTAAAACAGAGCTCAATTTCACACTTCCATTTCAAATAACTAACACTATATATATCACATTCCTGTTCTGGCATATCAACCACACAACAGTATAAATAATAAAACACTCAGGAACACTTTGATCTGTTATAGTAGCCAGAATCATATTTCTTAGTAGAAAGTAACTGCTCCACATTGGGAGTGAGCCATCTTTCTTAAGCGATCTTCAGGTTGCAGTCCCATAAGCTGAAGATCATCCTGCCAGACTCGACGGGGCTTATGCTCACACAGAAAGCTACTGAATAAGCTCTTGGGGCACTTGGCACACTTCAGCAATCATGTGCACAGCAGAGCCACTGTACACAAGAAAAGAGCAACAGGATCCCAGCCAATGCAAGTTTGTGATTCAAGTGCTGGACTAGGACTCAGAAGGTCTGGTTCAAATCCCCACTTAGCTACAAAACTCACTGAGTGGGGGTCGGTCCCACACTCTCAGTCTGATGTATCTCACAGGGTATCAAAGGAATAAAGTGTGGAGAAAGAGACCCATGTATAGTACGTTGAGTTCACTGGAGGAAAAGTAGGATATAAGTGTAACAAAAAAACATTATCTGTAATACAGTGGTGCCTCGCATAGTGATGTTAATTCGTTCCAAAAAAAACATCGCTATGTGAAACCATCGCTATGCGAAACACCATTTCCCATAGGAATGCATTGGAAACCGGTTAATCCGTTCCAATTGGAACGGATTACCGTCGTTAAGCGAAAAAACCCATAGGAAACATCGCTAAGCGAAACAATGTTTCCTCCATTGGAATGTATTGAAGCTGACTCAATACATTTCAATGGCTTTGCGAAGTCAATTTTTGCAATTTTAAATGTGTCATACAAGGGGCAAAAATGGTTTTAAATGCTTGGAATAGCTTCTGCACCTTCTAAAACGGGTGCAAATGTAATTTGGCTTAGATCTGACTTTTCGTTAATTTAGGGTGAATTTTT